TCCTCATAACATCCTTTCAAATCTTCTTTCTGCACATATAATATATACAACAGATTCTTGAATGATCTGAAACATTTAGGTGCAACACAAAAACAAGAGACAAAGAAACGTGTGAAGGGCGAAGACTTCTTCACTGGATGGTAGATGCTTCATATACAACCAGGTTTACATGAAGGCTTCTTACAATGCCAAATATAATTTCACAAAAACAGAAGAAAAGGTTTTCCTACCTGAGTTGCGATGCCTGCGTGGTCACATCCAGGAACCCACAGAGTTCTGTAACCCTGCATCCTTCTCCTACACAGATACACAAGTTACTCCATCATCCACCAAAGTCAGTCTGGACTCAACGTCTATCAACCGATTGTTAAATAAGTCGCTACCGTCGAACCAGGGCGTCCTGCACAGCTACAGTCAAGGCATGGCCCACATGCAGAGTCCCCGTCACGTTTGGAGGAGGAATACACAGAGAAAACGTCTGATCGACGCCGTGAGGCAACCTCTCCTGGAAAGGTTACAAACAGCAAAGACGCAAACAGTTTATTAAAGGTTACCGGGCAGAAAAAAGCAAACGCTTGGCATGTTTTACTTTATGTTAACATGATCATACATGCCATCTGAGAACGCCTTTTGCCTTAAAGTCAAAAATTGTAACTAAATATGTTCAGATTTCTTACATGTTGATCCGGATTGAAAAATCCCTCTTTCTCCCACCACTGATACCAGCAGGACTCCACATATTCTGGACTGTAGGAAGGTGGGAGAGGAAGGCTTGTATCTGCAAACAAAGGTAGAAATCACTGAATAACTAAACAGGTTGCTGAATAAATGAAAACTTAGAGTGGAGAAAAGAACCTTTTTTAGTCCCAGCAGGGGTTTGAGCCGTGTACTCAATCTTCTGTTTTTCACTCCACTTCAATGTTTGAGATTCAGTTCCCTGAAAGTTGCAGTGCAAGAATTAAAAGATGCTGAAATAGGGTCTATCACTGATTGACATTGGTTACTGCTGCTTCGTTATTGACTGTTATATGCTCCATGTTGACCGCTGTCAGAGCCTGGTCTGTTTCCTGACTCGTTTCCAGTCAGACTTAGTCTCCGCCAAGGTTGCCCTTTGTCACCGATTCTGTTCATAACTTTTTTGGACAGAATATCTAGGCGAAGCCAAAGTGTTTCTGTGGCCTTAGGATTGCGTCTCTGTTATTCGCAGATGATGTGGTTGGCTTCATCAGGGCGTGATCTACAGCTCTTACTGGAGCGGTTTGCAGCCGAGTGTGAAGCGGCCGGGATGAAGATCAGTGCCTCCAAATCTGATAGCATGGTCTGGAGCCGGAAAAGGGTAGAGTGCCTTCTCCGTGGTGGGGAGGATGTACTGCCCCTAGTGGAGGAGTTTAAGTATCTTGGGGTCTTGTTCACGAATAAGATGGAGCGGGAGATCGATAGGCGGATTGGTGCGGCGTCTGCTGTGAAGCGTGCGCTGTACCGGTCTGTTGTGGTGAAGAGAGAGCTGAGCCAAAAAGTAAAGCTCTCGATTTACCGGTCATCTCTAAACCTCTCCAAATGTGCCAAATTATTCCAAATTGTGCTTATTGCTTTTACACAACAATTTTACCCCCCCCCAAAAACATCACACTGGAGCATTTTGATGGCCATACATCATTTTTGAAGCAAATATTTTTTTATTTTTCTTGCTTTCCATCTAATAATCTAAAAATGTGCAATAATCCAGGATCAAATCTACCTCTCTCCCTTTACGCCTGCCGTTATATCTGGGTTGATTTATTCAAATTAGCCGTGCTTGACCTTGTTTTAAAGGAAATTTCATTGGCTAGAGAGACAAACATTATACATAACCAACAGCAGTCAGACTTTATGAGGGAATAATAGGAGGGAAGTTATGCATAAAGACTAGTGCTGCACCGATACTGATACCAGTATCTGGCGAGTCCTGATCCAGCACTAAAATGATGGTATCGTTATCAGTGAGTACCAACAAATAGGGCATCGATACCATTTTGAGAGCCAAAAGTTTATTCAACTATTGTCTCCAATTCCAGATAGGCAATAAAAAGTTGGATTCACTTTGTTTTAGTCTTTTTCCTGCTTCACAAAGGTAGGCAGCAGCTTGACAAAACCATGATGGGAATTATTTTACATCCAAGTAGTATGCAGTTCTTCATATTTACACACACATCAATTTCAGACAGATGTTTTCGGTATCGGCCAATACCGCAAAGCCAGGTATCGGGTATAGGGGCCAAAAAATGGCATCAGCGCAACACTAGTAAACTTTGATGCTTCGGGGGCTGTCCTTGCTTCAAATCTCAAGAACGGGGCGGGTGGGGACACTTTTGTTTTGTAGACTGGAAGGTGAGGAGAACAAACATACCTAACATTGACCAGAAAAGTAAGCTATGGTGATTAGCAAGACCGTTAGCATTAGCTATAAGGATCTAACTTTTCTGTTGATAAAAAAATGACTATATGTGGCGATTTTCTCTTCAATCAATGTTTTTATTACAAATATACTGGATTACTTTTTATCTGTGGACCCTTACGGACAAATGGAATATAAACAATCTAAGATTGGATTTATAATACGGCCTCAGGAAAGCTTCAAATGCTCCTTCTTTATTAATTGTGCTTTGGTGCTCATGGTTTCCATAAAATGAGCAGTTGAATGTTGGAGGATCGAAGCTTTCAAAAGATGTATAACATGTCTATATGGTAAAAGTTTAACCGCTGTTATTTTTCAAGCGTACTGCTGTGTTTCATGTAAATATAGAGAGCGGTGCGCTGGCGAACCAGTGGGAGTTCAGTTAAAACACCTACAAGTAGATCAAGGTCTTACTGAACCCTATGAATAAAACCAGTGGCTCCTAAAGTGTATGTTCTTGTTTTTAATACATTGTGGGGCCCGTTTTCTGGAAAAATAGTCCATTTTGGGGCCAGAGGCCTGGAAAATAAGTACAAATATAAAAACATTGCAATATGGTAAAAAGTACAATAATCTTCAACAGTAAGCTTCTTTTAAAAGTGACTCAAGTGATTGTAACTACTTATGAGTCAAAGCAACATTTGACATCCGAGTGTATCAACATACCTAAAGTCAAAAAGGTTTTTAGGCTTTAGTGAAAAGGAGTGAAAAATCAAGCCAGACAGTAAAGTTTACGGAGAAAATGGCGGATTATTAGTATTTGTCTGTGGTGATTGTAGCAGAGGAAGTCATCCTGCTAACTGGATGTTTCTGGCCTTCTCTCCCTGGAAGGATCATCTGAGCTTCAAACTGAGCTAAGGATTTAAACTGGAGGTTTGAAACAACTTTTCCCCCAAGAGATCGTTTGAGCTTCACACCTAGAAAGGGATTCATCTCCACAACGACCTGTTCAAGTACCGCAGGAAATCTGAGTGGCAGTCAGTTTCTCCGTTCACCTACAAACAACCGCGTTCTGGGTAAACCCTGTTCCACCCTCAACCGAATCAGGCAAACACTGGAACAACAGCACACAGACTGGAGTCACAGTCAACTACTTCTCTGGAAATGTGAGTCAGCTACCAAATCCTCCTCTTCAAGTTCACGAATCAAATTTCCCACTGAGCCTGAACTAACAACTGTGTCTTCCCCTCAGCTTTCGGTTCCGGTTGAGCAGTGTTCAGAGCAACACTGGATTCCTCACAATTTCCTAATAAACCTGTTAAACCTTTACCCTGGTCTCCCTGTTTGGTCTTCTGCATTTGGGTCTGAACTTTAGTAAAGCCATGACAAAGCAGGCCAGATCCAGTGATATCTTTGAGGTTGGGTTCAATATCTACAAACCACGGGGGTTTGGGTGCAGGAAGAGCAGAAGACATTAAAGAAAAAGAAAGCTGACTATACAAGAAAGTGTTTTCCTGCCATTTAAAGGCTAATAAATGTGTAATTCATTGATGGGTTTTTCCTTGGTGGGTTTTCACCAAGGTTGTTATTCCTCCAGATGGGTATTTCCCATCCATCCCTACATACAGTCATTACTAGGGATGCACGATATAATCGGCCCCCTATCGGTATCGGCCTTAAAACTGAATATCGGACATCGGCCACCCGACCGATATTTAACTCGATATTTGATCAGCTTCTGAGTTTCTAAAGTCAAAAAAAAATACTACTTCTTCTTCTTCCTCAAAAAATTCTTTTTTACAGACTTAAAAACTTCTTAAGACGAGGGAAAAAATATTGATACATTAAAATATCCCAATATCTTCATATGCTGATATATTGCCATTTAAAAACACCATATCAATCTCTTTTACTAATGAAATATTGCTATATGTCATCGTTATGCTCCCTCGAGGATTCAAGAAATTCTGCCATATTTTTATATGTTGATATATTGACGCGGTATCGATCTATTTTACTAACAAAATCTCACAAGAATTTGCAAAATATCACGAGAGTTTGTAACAGAACGATGAAATTTCGCGAGATTTTGAAAGTAAAATAGATCAATACCGCGTTTTTAAAAATCAATTTGATATCAGCATATGAAAATATATTTGAGTTTATTATTTTTCAAAGTGTCAGAAATGGATAACAAAACTGCTATTTTCAATGACTAATTATTTTTGTCCAGCTTTAACATCGGTATCAATATCGGTTATCGGCTACATGAGTTTTAAAACATCGGCATATCGGATATCGGCCAAAATCCCAATATCGTGCATCCCTAGTCATTACAGTCCTTAAAGGCTAGCCTGGTGAATATAGTGGGTTGACTTTTCAATGGAACTATCCCAGTTCTCCAAATATGATCTATTACCAGGACTTTCTTCCAGTTTCTTGCACTTGTCTGCAATAAAGTAGTTTCTTCCGGAAGAAACTCAACCCTGCTCTACATGGTGTCATCACCAAAATATACCCCTGGTCCATCATGCCTTACAGTAGCAGCCATTCAAAACGGCCCTTCCCAATCAAACGCCGGCCGAATGGCAGCCTACTTCCCTGCAACTCCCAGCAGAATCACCTCCTACTTCCAGCAACTGGCCTTCTCCTGGGCGTGCATTTCTTTTACCGACCCTTTCAGTGAATTACAGGGTCTGACCAGGAGATGATGCTTCTCTTTAGATTGTAATGTTCACAAATCATAATATCAAGAATATTTCTGTATGTTAAAGGAAAGTTCTGTGTCTACACCTTGAGGCTTTCTCTCTCCGGTTCGTTTTACTGAATCATTCGGGACAAACTCTTTAAATAACATTTCATAGCGTATATCTATTGAATAACCAGGAGACACAGAACAGAACAGATTTTGATTGAAATTGTAATCTTACTCAGATCAGGAAGTGGCCCCGATTAACAGTTAAAAAGGCAATTTATACATCTCCAATCTGACACATCAATACATTTTACATCATAAACATTAACAAATGAGGAGACATCCATGGCTCCAGCCTTATCAAAATTTTGCACTTTGCTTTTAGCTGAAGGACGTTGCTCTCTTTCCATTCTCAAATCTTTGCCATCTGCAAAATGAAGATTATAACTGTATATCTGGACAGAGGAACTGTCCTAATTAGATAAACTACTGGGGAAAATATCAGTTCTGAAACGCAACAGGCGGCTAATATTAAGGTGTCATAAACTCACACATCATCAATGATAGTTACCCTAACAATTACAATTGTTGATGTTTAAAAACGAATTGTAGAAGACCAGCCAAGGAAAGTGGGGAAATTTCTCATGGCTTGTCCTGTAAGATGCCTGAACTCTTCACTCGGGGAGCAAATAGGCAACTGAAGCAATAGAGGATCAGAAAAGTGGCAGAAAATTATTAAAAGTGGAACATATCTGTACCATTCCTCATTAAAAGGTCACACCCAGCTGCTGTATCCTTATGATTGTCTTCCTGAATGAATAAATGCAAACAAACATCCACAAAGCCAAGGACCTATTGGAGGATGGAGGTCTTACATGATGAGGAGCTGACAGGATGCTGTCCTCCTTCTCTCGCCTGCGTCTGTGTTTCTCGGCTCGGGGTCGAGGCTGAGCAGAGGGGAGCGTCCGGGGAGGATCCGGAGGTTTGCTGGAGCAGAGTTTAGAGGCAGTCTTTGCTACCAGCCTGGTCCTCAGAGAAGATCCTGAACTCCACATCCTCAGCTAACAAAACACTGCAAATATAAAGATGGTCCATTTTAACGCCGGTTGTATTGATTATACGTCAGCACTTCTTCGTTTATGAAAATTAAAGTCATGCTCAAATATATAAGTATTTCATGACCTTCTAACTTAGCTGACCTATTACTGCAACACAAACCCCGAAACAGCCAAAATACAATAAAAAATACATATAAATCAAGATGGTATTTTTTTTAATTATTATTTAGATAGAATATGTAGTACTGTGTATTCATACCTTTATAAGCAGTGACAGTTTATCCCACTGGATTCAATCTGACAGGCGGCATCTTAGGGACTGAAGGAAAGTCCGTCTGGAAATATCTTCCCCACTTTGCTACAATTATTTAGATAATTCAGAATAAAATAAATAACGTGCTGTCTTTTCAAAACAATGTTATTAGAAATTTAACTGAAACAATTGGAAATGCAAACGATGCTAACAAACTATAAAAACTGGTTTTGCTTGAGTGGAACTGATTTGTGTCGGCTGCGTGTAAACACTTCCGCTTGAGAAACGATCTACTTCTGGTTGAGTCGGGTTAATTTGTTTTGCAGCTTGTGTTGCCTCCAGCTCCTGCCTGTAACGCCCCGCGGTGTCTCTGGCTCTGACCTCATCGTTTACTCTCCAGTGTGTGACTTGGTGACTGCAGGTCGTTCTCAGCTGGTCTCCTTTAACCTCGGCGGGAGCCGGACTGCAGTGGGTTAGCATATTTGAAGAAGCTAACGTTAGCGTTAGCCGCAGGGATGGCGGAGGTTCCCGGGACATCCAGTGAGACGATAACGGAGACTGTTCAGACGAACACGCCGCCGCCGCCACAGCAGGTAACTGTTTTGACCCGGTACCGCGGGGTTTTTAACGGTTTGGTCCAAACGTTTGTTTGTGGTCTGCTAAAGCAACCATGGAGGCCAGCGAGGCCCGCCCTCTGCTCACAGGTTCAATGGTGGACACACCAGCAGCCCTCTATCCGCCTGGGTTTTATTGTTAGGAGATTGGTTTCCTTTATATCTTAGGTTTATTTGGTTTAAAATGCTAAAGGTGAGGTCAGTTTTAATCCCAGTAATCTAAATTTGCGTTGGTAATCTGAAGCCACTGGGTGGATTACTGTCCTCTGGGTTTCCAGATTCAGGACTACAATGATCACGACCTGAAATGATTTTGTTTAATGGTGGATTATTGGCGATCGGATTATTTGTGGAGACGATTAATGTGGCTTTCAACTGGACCGCCAATACTGGGAGGCCTATAAATGCTGCTGTTGCTAACAGATGGTGACCTTTTGCTATTGGTCAGCTCTTAGGAGGACAGGTTCTCTCATTGGCTGCTGATTCTGATTACATCTCTGTCATTATCGGGAAAAAATCTGCTCACAAGATAAGATTCATCAACCTCGATCAAAGGGAATAGAAGAATAGCTTTGTGTACTTTGTTCAGAAAATGTAAGGGGATTTTAAGTTGCAGAAGCCTTGGTTGTGAGGTTATTTCGACACAATTTCTGATTAAGATCACTCCTGAACCTGCACTCAAACCAGAGTCAGCCATCATTGTGGAGAAAGAAGCCGATAATTCTATTCAGTTTATTTCTATAGCGCCAATTCACATCATGTCATCTCAAGGTACTTTACAGTTAATCATATCATCCAGTCAAAGTTTTCTATCTAAGGAAAACCAGTTGATTGCATCGACTCATTGACTCTTCAGCAATCCCTCACACTAAGCATGCTTGTAGCGACAGTGGAGAGGAAAAACACCCTTTTAACAGAAAGAAACCTCCAGCAGAACCAGGCTCAGTGTGAGCGGCCATCTGCTGAGGCCCACTGGGGTTCAAGGAGACAGAAGCAGACATAGAAAAAGAAGCATAGATACAAAAGGCAACTGTCAACCAGCTCCACAGGCGGCCCCGTCCAGGAAACACACAGCCAGGGAGACGAGCTCCGAGCCAGCTCCCATGTCAGAGGATGAAGAGAGCACATCCAGTTAGTCACAGTCAGAGAAACAGGACTACGCTGAAAAACAGGCCGATCTCCAACATCTAGAAACAAAGGTGTTGATGGCAGCAGCACAGCTGATATTTCTTTCCAGGATGGAGTCACAGCCAAACAGGAACAGACCAGATGAAGCTACTATGAGAAAAAGCAGAGAGAGCAGAACGTTAGAGATTGAACTAACAGATTCTACAGAATAGGAGAATAGAGAGAGAATGAAGCAGAATGAGGAAAAGGAGTCCCTATCTATGTCCCAGATATAGATAACGGTTTTATATCAGGTTATTGCAGGGAATCCGAGTCCTAATTGTCTAGCCTATTAGAAATAAGTTAAATTTATCCAAGTGAAACATGAGAATAAAAGGATACTATTTATTCAGCAATGTATGGATGAAATGAGTAAGAAAAAAGGTAACTATTTCTTACCAAAGTCTAACAATCTTTAAATTAAAATGCTGTTACTTTGCGTTACACTATCTGATATTACTAATGAATAATCGACCATAGTTTGTTTGATATGGAAGTTCACTTTTTGTGTTTACAGGAGGGACGAAGCTTGACAATCAAGTTGAGGAAGAGGAAGACTGAGAAGAAGGTGGAGTGGTCGAGCGACACAGTTGATAACGAGCACCTGGGAAGAAGATCATCTAAGTGTGAGTTTAAAAAGCTTATAGGGAAACAGCAAAAAGTTATCAGATGGTTTGAAGGTGTAAAGGTTGTTCAGTGACCAGTTTACAACCATGATCATCTAAAAACACTTTGCATTACAAATTAAATCAATCCAATCTTAACAGATTTAGAGTGAATGCATCCCATCAATCAATGCAATCAACATTATTTTTTAATTCAAATTAGTATAAAGGTTTTTATGTATGGAAAAACCCTGCAGATTCTGTAGAGCAGGGGTGGGCTATCCAGTTCCTGGGGGCCGGTATTCTGCAACTTTTAGATCCATCCTTGGTCCAACAAACCTGAATCAAATGGCTGAATGACCTCCTCAGGATGCAGTCAGTTTGTCCTGGTTCTTCTTAATCATCTAATTACTTGATTCAGGTGTGTTCAACCAAGGGCACATATAAAAGTTGCAGGATAGCGGCCCTAAGGAACTGGAATTGCCCACCCCTGCTAGAGTGACTAATTTTCAGCTCACAAGGTGGTCTGGGGGATTTGAGAAGATGAAGCTCAAAAAACACACAGAAACAATGATCACAGAGTATGTTCTATGTTTGAGGAAAAGACAAGTGCAAATATCACAATTGAATACTTTAATTCAATTCAGTTTATTTATATAGCGCCAAATTCACATCATGTCGTCTCAAGGCACTTTACAGTTCACCCAGATCATCCAGTCAAATTGATACAAAGTTTTCTATCTAAGGAAAACCAGTTGATTGCATCGACTCATTGACTCAAATACAATCCCTCACACTAAGCATGCTTGTAGCGACAGTGGAGAGGAAAAACTCCCTTTTAACAGGAAGAAACCTCCAGCAGAACCAGACTCAGTGTGAGCGGCCATCTGCTGAGGCCCACTGGGGTTCAAGGAGACAGAAGCAGAGACTTTAGTGACTTCATGAAAGAGAAAACCTTAAACAAATGTTAATAAACAACTGGAGTTTAGATTTTAGGGTTTATATTGTTTGAAGTTGTAATGTGCTGAATGACAGAGAAGAACACAGAGGAACCAAGGAGCCGTTTTCAAGCCAATTGTCCTAAAATGAAGCCATTTGCTGCGTCCAGCAGAGAGCTGCAGTTAAACACTAAAAACAGGAAGAAGTGGATCATTCATAAGCCCTATTTACACCACCCTCTGAAAGTTCAAGTTTGGATCAGTTAGCCGTGCCGAGCTCTGTTCAACGCCATGCTAGCACAGTTCCTCGCCTCCTAGTGGCAATCTATGGTACTACTGCTCTCTAGATGTGAACAAGCAATATGCAGCACCCGTAACATTCAGGAAGTTTATGGAGAGTCAGGCGAAGAAGGCAGCCTTTGGTGAATTTACCTGACATTCGGCTTTTGGGAAGCGGATACGACAAACGATAGTCTAATCAGAGCTTCCAGACGCAGGAAACAACGACAGACATTGAGGTTCATCACATTGCGAAGCAGAATCACCACTAGAAATCGTGTGGTGCGGTGGTGAAGCTAGCTGATTACGGAGGCTGACTGCAAGGAGATGACGCGGTCTGCTCATGCACTCTTTGTAATCTGAGAACTGAACTGTGCCGAGTCCTGCTGATGAACTAGTACCAGTTTCGTGCGATTCAGTTTTGTGTGCTGCGGTCCAATTCAGTTTTTCGTGCCATTTATACTAAGCAGTTATCTCAGTTACCGTGCGCAGACCGATCTCTGCACGGTTTCTGAAGCACATTGTAAATGGGGCTATAGAAGGAAACATAAAGATGTTCACAGCAGGAAGGTTTCACAGCTTAATTGAATGTGGGATAAGATGTAGCTTCTGTGAAGAGAAAGAAAGGAGAATAAAAATGTCAAATTAAAAGCCTAAAATGATGTAGAATTGTAAGGAACTAGTAGGAGAATGTTTGAGAGGGAGAAAAGGGGGGCCGGTGTGTCCTCCAGTGACTGAGGCCTGCTGCAGCAACAGGCCGTGTTCATCCAGCTGTATGTCTGATATGTCTGATTTTATATTTTTTTTATTAGAACAGTGTGCCATTCGTTAGTACCATCCAGTGAAACGGCCTGCCTTCAGAACTCTGTAGTTAGAAAACTCAGTGAACCTTTTGTTTGCACTGAATAGTGCGAGAAAAGAAGGCGCCGGTGTGTGTGGCCTGCTGTCTGTCTCCAGCAGCGCTGTGTCTGCTTTGCTGTTTGCAGGGCCCAAAAAATACAGAGATCAGGAGTCAGTCACTGCTAGGTGGGTTCAGCGACGTGCTCCCCAGAAAATGTTTTTAGTTCCATGATTTAAATCAGGCCATTTTCAGAGGATTGAGCAGAAAAAGCAACATCTGTATGCCTTTTGAAAAGGCTAGTTGGCGAATTTCTCTTTCCCTGTCAGACATTTCAGGCATTATAAACTGTATGCCAACTTTGATTTGAAGCTTCTATCTTTCTTTTTTAGATCTTGTATCTAAATGGTTAGAAATGTGTCACAAAAGCCATTCCAATGTAATTGAAATCAGATGCTTTATATTTACTTCCTTAGTTAAAATAGACCCAGATGCTATTACATCATTATGTTCATAATCATGCCTAATCTGTTCACTCTTGTTATGGAAAGCCAGCTTTTGAACATATTTCTAATATAATCTCACACAATACTTCAAGTATCATGCATTAAACATTTACCTTTTAAAGCCTTTACAGTTCCGTCACAGTATTTCCTTTTCTAGCACCTGTTCTCTCTCCATCCAAAGTGAAATGTCTTTTTATTTACACGTGTAAATAAAAAATGACTAAATAAATCTAATTCTTAGACATCTCTCTTCTCACTGCTCCTCCTGCTGTTCGGTCCAAAGCTCGGTTTGACTTTTTCCTCCTTATCCTGTTTTCCCTTCGGTGAAGAATATCATCAGTCAAATACTAAAATGATAGAAATGGAAAACAAAAAGCTATTTCAACATTTTTCAGTCTTTATTAGCCATTTCAACACATTACAATAAAATCTAATAAAATTTGTTTTACGGGTTCCAGAGCAGCCCAGTGTCAAAGTGTTGAATAGTAAAAGTAGCTGTAAGTAAGCTGAAGTATAAATATTAAATAAACAAGATAAAATATTCACATTTAAGCAGTTATAAATGAATATAAGAGTCTATAACATTACTGCAGTAAATAAAAATGGGGCTTTTTGAAGGACCATTATGATGACTGTTGAAGATATCTGTGAAGAGTCTCAGTCATTCAGGTCAAGCTTGAAAAAGTTCAGTGTAGGTACCTGGAAGTGACGTTTTCTAGAAGAGTCAGGTGAGGGCAGGTTAGAGGTGAATCTTCTGGGTGTTGCTAGTGAAGATTCTCAGTCATCCAGGTCATAGTCATTCCAAAAAAGTTTAAAAACAATCCACTGGACTTTGTTTCCCAGTTTGAAGACGTTTCTCTTCCATCCAGGAAACTTTTTCAATTAAAAATGTCAGAAATAGCTTTGATTTATCCAGCAGCCCAACAAAGAATTGTGTTTAGAAATCATGCAAATAGAAACAGATGAACGGGTCCCCCCCTTTGGAATGGGGGTCATTTGGCTCTTTGTTGGCCTGCAATGCCCCATACCTGTTTATGTCTCTGAAATGAGGTCATTAGAGGGAATTGTTGGCCTGGATGGCCAGGATTATTTGACTTCTGAACCAAGGTCTGGAAATTGAACTATTTCCACTAGAGTTGGTATCACTCTTCAGTTTGAGTGTTTTATGTAGATGAATTTAACTTTCAAATCTTGCAAGCTCTTCAACATTACGTAGCATAGCTTGATGCTAATCTAACGTCATTTTAGTTTGTGAGCATTTCTCTACACATTACAGCTGCTTCCCTGCTGTAAAGAGTCTCCTTTCTATCTGCCGCTTTGCTAAATGAAATAAAACCAATAATAATGCATGTTGCTCTTCATCGATTCTGACTGAAAAAACTTGGTTTGTTCTTTTTAACTCCATTATATACATTTGATGGATGGACATGCTGCAAATCAAATCAGCCGTTTTAGACCGAAGTGCTTCCATTGAGCCCTTTCTCCTCTGTGGATCAGAACTTTTCCAGTATGATGCAATTTCTAGTGAAATCATAAAAAATCTTTGTCCCATAAGTTTTTTGTTTTAACTTTGATATTTTTCTTTTTGTGGCTAAAGGTTTGGAGACCATCGGTTTGGATTTAAACCAAAAGACTCACATTTTAAACGTTTTACAAAGTATTAACTCAGCAGAGCAGAGAGGAATCTCTTTGACACCGTTTAGATTTCCATTTGTATTTAAAATAATTTTTGTCATCAGTGCTTATTCCCTGTTCTGTCCTGTGCATGGCTATAATACAGACATTCATGTGGGGTATGAACTCTTCTTTCTAACGCACTTCAGTACTACAAGATGATCAAAACTTGGCCTTTTAGGTTTTTCTTAAACATTAGTAGTTTCAGTATCTTGGGGTCTTGTTCATGAATGAGGGAAAGATGGAGCGGGAGATCTACAGGTGGATTGGTGCAGCGTCTGCTGCCCTGTACCGGCCTGTTGTGGTGAAGAGAGAGCTGAGCCAAAAGGCAAAGCTCTCGATTTACAGGTTTATCTACGTTCCTACCCTCATCTATGGTGATGAGCTTTGGGTCATGACCAAAAGGTTGAGATCCTGGATCCAAGCGGCTGAAATGAGTTTTCTCCGTAGTGTGTTTGGGCTCTCCCTTAGAGATAGGGGGAGGAGCTCAGTCATCCGGGGAGGACTCAGAGTAGAGCCGCTGCTCCTCCACATCGAGAGGAGCCAGTTGAGGCTTGGGCATCTGATTAGGATGCCTCCTGGACGTCTACCTGGTGAGGTGTTCCAGGCACGTCCCACCAGGAGGAGGCCCAGGGGGAGACCCAGGACACGCTGGAGGGGCTTATACCCCATTTACACTACCCTTGAAAAACCGTACTGAGACCGGTCCGAGCTCAGTAACTGAGATAACTTATGGTGTGTAAATGGAAAGCAAACTGAACTGAACCGAGCTAGACACAACCGAACCGCGCTAACTGCAGACCAGTTCCAGAGGTGGGCTCGGCTCGGTTTTTCCCTGGCTCGGTTCTCTGATAACAAGAGCGCATGAGCAGAACGCGTCATCTCCGTCTGGCTGCACGTCCCGATTCACACTCCATTCCAGTAGTTGGCAGTAATGCCCCTCTGGAAGTTGCTCGCCAACCAACACAAATCAGAAGAACAACTATAAACATCCACGAAAGGTTGCCGTCTTTGCCTGACCCTCCGCAAACACCGAAGTACAGCAATAATAATCAAGCATAACTTTCTGAATGTGACGGGCGCCGCCATTTTGATTGCTTGATTCCCTCCTCCTTCGTCTTCTTCTTGTGTTTTATGGCGGTTGACAAACAACTTTTGGTGCATTACCGCCACCAACTGCTTGATTTCCTCCTTCAATACTGGCAGTAATACCGCAGATCGTCACTAGGAGGCGAGGAACCGAGATAGCGTGATGTGTAAATGGTCATCAGAACCGAACTGGGCCTGGTTCACTGATCCGAGCTCGGCCCAGTCTCGGCACGGATCGGTTTTTCAAGGGTCGTTTAAATGGGGTATATGTTTCCCTCCTGGCCTGGGAGCAAGCAGTACAAGGCCTTGTCTACACTCGCCGGCCACTTTATTAGGTACCCCAAGCTAGTAGCGGGTTGGACCCCCTTTTGCCTTCAGAACTGCCTCAATTCTTGGTGGCATAGATTCAACAAGGTACTGGAAGCATTCCTCAGGTAGTTTGGTCCATATTGACATGATGGCATCACGCAGTTGCCGCAGATTTGTCGGCTGCACATCCATGATGCGAATCTCCCGTTCCACCACATCCCAAAGATGCTCAATTGGATTGAGATCTGGTGACTGTGGAGGCCATTTGAGTACAGTGAACTCATTGTCATGTTCAAGAAACCAGTCTGAGATGATTCCAGCTTTATGACATGGCGCATTATCCTGCTGAAAGTAGCCGTCAGAAGTTGGGTACATTGTGGTCATAAAGGGATGGACATGGTCAGCAACAATACTCAGGTAGGCTGTGGCGTTGCAACGATGCTCAATTGGTACCAAGGGGCCCAAAGAGTGCCAAGAAAATATTCCCCACACCATGACACCACCCCCACCAGCCTGAACCGTTGATACAAGGCAGGGTGGATCCATGCTTTCATGTTGTAGACGCCAAATTCTGACCCTACCATCCGAATGTCGCAGCAGAAATCGAGACTCATCAGACCAGGCAACGTTTTTCCAATCTTCTATTGTCCAATTTCCATGAGCTTGTGCAAATTGTAGCCTCAGTTTCCTGTTCTTAGCTGAAAGGAGTGGCACCCGGTGTGGTCTTCTGCTGCTGTAGCCCATCTGCCTCAAAGTTCCACGTACTGTGCGTTCAGAGATGCTCTTCTGCCCACCTTGGTTGTAACGGGTGTTATTTGAGTCACTGTTGCCCTTCTATCAGCTCCAACCAGTCTGGCCATTCTCCTCTGACCTCTGGCATCAACAAGGCATTTCCGCCCACAGAACTGCCGCTCACTGGATGTTTTTTCTTTTTTGGACCATTCTCTGTAAACCCTAGAGATGGTTGTGCGTGAAAATCCCAGTAGATCAGCAGTTTCTGAAATACTCAGACCAGCCCTTCTGGCACCAACAATCATGCCACGTTCAAAGTCACTCAAATCACCTTTCTTCCCCATACTGATGCTCGGTTTGAACTGCAGGAAATTGTCTTGACCATGTCTACAGGCCTAAATGCACTGAGTCGCCGCCATGTGATTGGCTGCTTAGAAATTAAGTGTTAACGAGCAGTTGGACAGGTGTACCTAATAAAGTGGCTGGTGAGTGTATATAAAGACTCAAACTCACTGCGGATGCAGACATTTAAATTGAGAAAGCTTCCTGGAGAGGTGGTCTTGAAATCTTGGAAACCAAGTCCAGTGGATATTTTTTGAACTTTTACAGAAGAAAATGTGTAGAAAATGTACCACATCAGGCAGACGAGCTCTGAGCCAGCTCCATGTCAGAGGATGAAGAGAGCACATCCAGTTAGTCACAGTCAGAGAAACAGGACTACACTGAAAAACAGGCCGATCTCCAACATCTAGAAACAAAGGTGTTGATGGCAGCAGCACAGCTGATATTTCTCTCCAGGATGGAGTCACAGCCAAACAGGAACAGACCAGATGAAGCTACTATGAGAAAAAGCAGAGAGAGCAGAACGTTAGAGATTGAACTAACAGATTCTGCAGAGTGGGAGAATAGAGATAGAATGAAGCAGAATGATGAAAAAGGGGTCCCTATGTCCTCCAGCAGTCTAAGCCCTTAGCAGCAGAACTATAGAGATAGCTCAGGATAACCTGAGCCACTCTAACTAGAAGCTTTATCAAAAAGGAAAGTTTTAAGCCTAGCCTTAAAAGTAGACAGGGTGTCTGCCTCACGGACTAAAACTGGTAGTTGGTTCCACAGGAGAGGATTTTTATCAGAACTCTGGCTGCAGCATTTTGGATCAGCTGAAGGATTTTATCTGTAGTTTGTGGACTTCCTGATAGTAAAGAATTACAATAGTCCAGCCTTGAAGTAACAAATGCATGGAGTTGGCTTTGAGATAAATGAACAGATATTTTACTGCACACTTTGCAGTCCTGTTATTTAATGTATGTTATAAATAAAAAGCCCTCCCATAAAACACGATGTGAAAAAAACAACCGATCTTCATAGAGAGCCTGCTGCATCTTCAGCTGTTTAAGTTTATCGCAGCTCAAGTTAGTCCTCCTAACAACAAACCAAAGGGCGGCTGCATGATATGCAAAACTGGGGGTGATTGCCTGCAATCCTGACTCTCTTCAGGAACTGTACACCTCCAGCAGGAAAAAACACAGCTGCCTCCTCCCATCCTGGACAGCGGCAGGAGGCTGCCGTCTATTGGGACCAAAACTTTCTTCCCACCCGCAGCTCACCTTATTTACGTGCTCTGGTCTCCCAGAGACACTTTTCCTCTGGAAATGATGCAAATATCTCCGCATAAGCAGTTTTTAAGGCAATCTCTTTAGTATCTGCCATGGCGCCCTTACTCTCCAATAAATTTTTTATCTGAGCAGCAAAACTAATTCCTGCTGCACCTAAAACACTAATTGATTGGATTGAGTTTTATTTTTTTCATGTTGTTGTAATGAGGCTAATTTTGTGGTCAGTCCTATTATTCACTGATGACAATTATTTCCTATTTTTTTCTCCTACATTGTTTACATCTGATCACTGCTTCACTTTATGGAATGAAAAGGTTAATTTACTGTCTAGAAAGCTGTGCTAAACGAAACGACGCCACATGGTCGTCTTTCTCTGTCCACCCTAATCCTGTTTTTCCATATTGTGTTCCAGGTTGCTGTATTTATGAAAAGCCCCGGCAGTTTGGAGAATCTTCCTCTGAAAGCGAGGGAGACGACGATGACGAAGGCTGCGGCAGTGCCAACTGCATCCTGGGTCATGGCAGGAAAGGACATGGACAGAGGCCTGATGGCGGGAGCACAGCACCCCCCAACTCTGGAGGGACGCACAGCCATTAATGTGCAACTCGGTGTATTCGGGTGGGGGGTTAAACATTAAAAACGGCACTGCTGTTTTAGTTTAGTTTCCCCAGCGAGCCTCAGACAGACCTGAGGTCAGAAAGTTCCAGCTGCTGGAGCGCATCATGATGGAAGTTTACCAATTTAAATCTGTTGTTCTCAGAAGCAGCTTAGTTTGAAATGAAAAACTTGTTTTAAAACAAATAATTAAGACGATAGATGGTCAGGGCTCTATGCTGTCACCCTGGAGCTCCAGGCTTCATATGGCTGCTACACTTTCATGCATGATTATACCGGCACACTTTCGAGTTTTCTTTTTTTATTACTTAATTCTTAATTTACCCAATTTGATTATGAAATTCCCGCAAATTTGTCAATTGTATGGTTATAAATTGAGATAAAGAGGAATGACTTGATTTCCAGCTTATCTACATTTAAATGCGATTCTAGAAATCTCAGAAGCTATTTTTAGGCTCTGGTTGACTGATTATAATCTTCTTAAAACGCAGCTTTTTTTTATGTCTTAAGATGTTTAAAAGTTCTTCTGCAGATGTAAAAGCTCTCTGCTCTTCTCCAGCAGCTCTTTGGACTTTCTGACTGTAAGCTGTCTTTGAAGCAAAGCATGATGGGAGATAGGCGCTGCATTTTACACTGATGCTTTGTGATCAGCTTCATGTTGGTCGTTCACATTAGAACATGGAGATTTACTTTGCAATGCCACCAGAATGACTCGAGGCGTGCAGAGAGCTTTAATATTGTGACCAGTATTTAAAACGGCGGATTCTCTGGGGACCGCCGGACACAAAACCACATTTAACTTCATTCAAATTCTCATGGAAGTGTTTATTTTCTCTTTAGGTTTTAGGAAGTGTTTCATGTTCATCTGCAAAGATTCAAATAGTTCTTTTATATCCACTTTTTTTCTTTTAAAACAAATTTACCAAGAGAAAACTGACTTGGTTCTCCTGCCTAAGATAAAATCTCTGCAGAGAATTTCAGTTTGCCGCTTTTCCACATGGCGCTGATCTTCTGTGTTAAAGTCTTCGATCCGATTTTGTTTTCTGATGACCAGGTTTCCTGGGACTGTTGTCATAGCAACTGGACGATGAAAACCTCTGAAAAGGTGTGCATTTTCCCTAAAGACTAAAAACCAGGTTTTCTTGAGGCATCAAGCCACTGATTCATAGAAGTTGATCCCAAACTGCAACAGAAAAGCTTTGAGAATCAAAAGAAAAAGTTTTTAAAGAGGCAAACTGCTTGATTCAGACCAGAACACTGACCGTCCCTTTACTGCTGACAATCTGTTTCAATTTTACAGTAAAACGATGCTGGAGAAAATGGATTCTAATTCTTTTTATATGCTAAAATAAACGTCTGTGATGCTAAAATGGTGAAAGCTAGCGTTAGCCGAGTTTAACCTACTGCCATATAACTTCAGCCAAATGCACACAGCAGGTTTAACTTGCCTGTTTAGCTTTGTGTTTGTGAAATCAGTGATGTTAACCGGTCCCAAATACCCAGTGAGCCAATGACGGCATTAATCTGCTGTCATTTTATAACCATGATTCACCTCAGAATGATTTCAATCCTGAACCATCACTCATTTCCTGTTTGATAAAAGTTTAAATTAATCTAAGATCGACGTGAGTCCTGCTGGGTTTAAAACAATTAGCTGAATATTTTTCCGGATTTTCAAAGACAGGCTGATTGGCAAAAAAATGCTTATGTTTCATCGTTTTAGGCCCAAATTTTTAAAGTTACACCAATTAAAAGGCAATTATCAACAAAAAGAAAGACAGCGTTGCTTTCTCTTAGATTCCAGTGAGATGAGAACAATTCCTCCCAAATAAGCTTAAATGGCTTATTTGTTTAAAATGTAAAAATATTCTTTTTTAAACTAACGTGAAAAAGGCAGAGCTGACCTAAAAATGTGCATTTAAAATAATCCGTACCGTTGGTGGTTAATAATGACTAAATTAGCGTATAGACGCCATATAAGGGGGTTTCTACCCAAACAGTTTAACGTTGAATCCTTTTTTTCTTTAAACTTTGTTTTAGATGTTCATGAGTAACATGAGATTAGCGGGAAACGCCGCCTCATGTTTCCCCGCTGAGATGAGGCAGACGGGTACGAGCTCTCTGCATATAAACCTGATGATAGTGATCGTTACTGAGCTCCGTTCCGGTGGCTAAGAGAGCAAAGTAACCTGGATCCCAGATTATGCTGCATTCAGGACAGAAGTATGACGACTGCGGCTTTCTTTGCTGTGACTAGAATGTCCTTTTATTTTTCGTCTTTGCACAGGTTTCTATGCTGTTTGTTTATTTATACCATCTCTGCACACTGACTACAGCAGTGTTGTTCTGGTAAACACATTCCTGTATATACTGTTGGCATAATGAAGCTGATTATAATGTGAAAAAATAAAGTTTTGAACTGTGCTTAAAGTGACAAAGCAAAATGTCTTTAGTCTCTTCCTCCTCTACAATTATAAAGGGAATGATTTTCCAAAAATGAAGAGAAAAGATGTGATGAATCTTTCAGTCTTATGACATTAATGATTTGAAGTAAAAAAAAAGGGGAGGGGCTTAAAGTGAGAAAGCTGGAAATGCTGCAGATGGATGAACTTTGAGGCCTGATTTTCTTCCACATATCTGGGTTTAAAATGTCCCAAAGCTTCATAGAGGAAATCACCTTATGGGATTTTTTTTAACTTAATCAGAGTTGTGATAAAATGTTTTAATCTTTTCTGGGATTCAGCTGAATAAAAACCATTAATGCTGTAAATGAGATAAACTTCTCAGTGTTCAGTCATTTTAGGATGCAGACTGGAAGCTCATCTCAATATATGCAGGTTTAGCTTAAGGAAAGTTACATTCCAGATATTTTAAGACTTTTAACGTCAGCTTTAGTAGCGGCTCGTTCTGAGATCTATGTAAACCTGCTGAGGTCGGCCATCTTGTCAAACAGGTGGGCATTTTCAGATACTTTGAACATTTCTCCAAATCTCTCGTTTAACTTGTATGATTATTTATTTCCACCATAGCGCTGCTTTAATGGCGGTGTGTTTTATCTGGAGATGTTGCAACTTGATTTGAAAACATGACTGCATGGCCTTGATTTCACCTGGAAACATTCCTTACGTGAACACGTCATGCCTCATAAAGCTTCCCTGCTACTGAAAGCTTTTTAAGCTGCATTAAACCAGATTGATGGTGTGCAGAATTCATGCCGTTTCATCTTGCTTGCAAAGTAAACTGGTTTCAGCCACTCCTGGTTGGATTTAGATGGGGAAACATGGAGGACACCCAGCTCCCAGCTGTAACCTTTGCTTTTATTGCTTCCTCTATTGGAGTAATTGGAGCTTGGTAAACTATTATTAACCATTTAATTGGTCAGACAAAAAAAAAAAAAGATTTTAAAACACGTGAAAAAGAAAAAATGAAATCAGCAGCTGTTCTTTAACCTTTAAGGAGGAAGAAGCCTGCCTGATAAAACTGTTTTATTTTTTATATGGAAAGAAGAGGCTGCAGATTTGGAGGCACCACATACGCTCTGCTAAGGAACAAAATACAAACACTTTGTTTACTCACTTTAGTAGTAACAAAAAAGTTAAACAATCCAGTGGACTGTTTCCAAGGTCGAAGACGTTTCGCTTCACATCCAGAAGCTTTTTCAATTCATTTGAAAAATAGACTTCAAACTTGGAAACAGTTTTTATTTTTTTTGGAATGACGATGGATGACTGAATCTTCACCATCAAACTTACTCAAGTAGAAATGTTGGCCATTTATAACTGACCGGAGTAATTATCTTTTAGAAAACTTTTGAATAAAAATAATTGAACTTCATTGATCTCACAATGGAGGAATTTACCTCTCTATTTAACCCATTCCCTTGGGGAGCATCGGGCTGCCACAGTGCGGCCCCTGGGAAGCAATCGGGGTCAAGGGCCTAGGTTTGATCTCAACTTTGGTAGGGACACTACTGGGGCCTGTTTCAATAAGGAAGTTCAACCAACTCTGAGTTAAAACTTGAACTCTGAGTTGACTTATCCTGAGATTGGAAACTCTGAGTTTTGGGTTTCAGAACAGCTGAAATGAGTTTGTTCAATCAACTCTAAATTGACTGACTCTGAGTTAAGCGCGTGCACCACAACAATAAAAAAGCCATTATCAATGGAGCACAGATATTACGAGTCACCATGGCAACAGCGTCAGACAAAAAAAGGTGTGCATATTTCTCACCAGCAGAACTGGATGTGCTTATGCAAGCATATGCAGAATTTGAACATGTATTAAAAAAAAAAAAAGCAACACCACGGCTGCAGCGGCGAAGGAGAGAGAGTTAGCTTGGGTGAAAATAGCTGCTAGAGTCAATGCGTAAGTTTACATTTTAATTACTTTTATACAGTGTTGGGTGTAATGAATTAAGTTACTTAAGTCATATAAATACTGTAATTAAATTAAAGACTATAAAACAATAGTGGATTTAATATCAAATTTTTAAAAGGTATATTTTGATTTGAACTTTCTCCCTCTAGTTACACACTTTGGTCAATTTAAGATTAATTCATGCAATTGAATATTGTTTATTTGAAAGCATTAGAAGTGCAGTTTCTTGTCTCTCCTTGTATTGTTCAAGTGGTTGAGGTTGATTTGGGATTTAGAAAGTAATTAATAAGTAAGTAAAACAAATTAGTAAGTAGACCAATACTTTCTAGAGACAGTAATTATTACATTAATCTAATTAGACTTGTTGAAGATAAAATTTGCAGTTAGTAATTAAGAACTATTTTAGAGTAACTTACCCAACTGTTATAATATCAGAGGTGAAACTGGAAGAACAGTATTTTATTAAACCTAATTTAGTTTTCATGGATAGGTGCAATCCTGCAGGCATCAAAAGAACATGGCAGCAGCTGAAAATGAAATATAAAAACATACTTCAAGCAGGTAAGCCTTGAGCACATCATGGGAGTAGAGTAGCTACCTGGCTTTACAAACAGGATCATCCATAAAAGGACATGCCATTTCATTCCCTTTGATGCGCTCTACGTGACTGAAATGTGTGCAATGAATACTGTATGTCCCCAAAGAATCAATGAGGTGTTTAAACACCACTTCCTCTTTAAAAAAGGGGAGGAGACCAAAATAAACTCTGGATTTTCTGAAGAAAACCTGCTCCCGACCAGGTTAGGTTCACAGAGTAAATTGCCATGGTAACTGACTCTGAGTTTAAGTTACCTCTCTTTCAGAAACGGGCTTGACTTACTCTGCTTTCTCAGGTTTAACTTACCTCCCTTTCTGAAACAGAAAAACCCAGAGTTTCCCTTATTTCAGGGTTAACAAACTCAGAGTTTTCACTTAACCTCCTTTCTGAAACAGGCCCCTGGTCTTAAAATGAATTGGTCTGATGTCATTGGTCCTACTCATCCTATTTATTTTAATGCTCGATGTGAGTATCAGGGCGCGTTTCATTTAAAGAGAAAACAGCATTTTTTTTGCTACATTTATACACATTTTATAAGCACTACACACACAACATGCTGTTTATCAATGTTTGAAGCATCAGTGGCTCAGAATAACTTTGAAAAGGTTACATTTGAACTTACCAGTGACGAAGACAGAAGGTAAATACGTGCGTGCCTTTTTAACCAAATATAGTCTAAATATGTCTGTTGTTTATGTATTTATCCAAGAAATAGTATTGTGCAGAGGTAAACAGAGGTAAAACCCACTCTTATTTATTTCATCTGATATGTTAATATTCTCTGTATTGTAAAACAAAGCAAAATAACATATTCAAGGGACTGCAAATAGATTTATTGTACTTACGTGGATGCAGGAACTATAAGAGGAACTGACACTGAGCATTTAAAATATTACCTTCAATATACAAGTTGTGAGAAAAGAAGCGCCTGCTGCAACAGCACTGTAGTGTAAATTATAAACATGTTATTCACATAGAATTATTGGTAGGGACATGTCCCTATGGTCCCTATGCAAACCTACGCCCATGATCGGGGTTAAGGGTCTTGCTCAGGGACCCAGAATGGAGACTATGGGGATTGACCGGGTACAATTGTACCTCTATTTCTTGCATTTCAAAAATAGACTCATTAGTTTTGTTTAATTTAAGCTAATTTCTGTTATTGCCTGTTTTTATAAAAAAAAAAAAAACATTAAAATAATTAGTTTCATCCAGACAATTTCTTTGTGCTTGGACTCGGTGCTGCCCCGACTTGTTGCTCACCACATACCACCAAAAAACACAATAAATAGTTTTTCAAAGTTAAATTTAACTCCGTTACCATTAGTTATAAAACTAAGAAAATGAAGTCTAAGGAAGTTATCGTCCAGAATTGTAGAAATATATTCCTTTAATAGGGGAGAGCAGTAAAGCTTCTGGCATTGACATTTATTCCTGCATTATTTCTTTTACTTTAATATGTTAAGTAGTTTTAAAAAACATTTTTTTACACTTTTAATGGAGTGAAAACCTTAAATTGATCCTCTAACTTCTACGAAAGTGTTATTAAACAGTAGGATTTATACTGGAGAAATAAACATGAATCCTTTTGACACCTCTGCGCCCTTCGCAAAAACAAACAGGCTAAAAAATATATTTTTTTATATTTAATACAAATTACAGTCAAGTCCAGACAATTTCTGTTTTTATGACCTTTGAAGAATTGATTTAAGGTATTTTAATATTAATTCAATTCCTTTAAAGAGTTTTTAAAGATCTGCAGGAACCCTGGAGTCAAACTTCTGTTGAGTCTTTTGAGTTCGACCAAAGAACTCGATCAGGAGTCACTTTAAATGTATTTCCTGCTGCAGCATTTAGGAAAACTGTTAAAATAATAGATTTCATTTTCAATTAGATTTCAAAAACAGGAATCAGAAACTATAGTGGAAAATCTGCAGAAAGCTCTGCTTTAATGAACAAGTATAAACATCTTACAGAAAGCAGAACACGCTGTTCTCCTCATGGCCTCACACCCCAGGCCGCATCAGGCCCTGCCTATAGTGATCCAGCACTGCTCAGGAGTGACGCCTCTGTTAAAAATATCTGAAACGTCAGCTAACATTCCTGTATGAAAGCTCCACACCAGGAGACGATGAGGAAAACGCAGCAGTTAGAGATGTTATCAAACCGTTATCAAAAGGGAAAGGTCAACTTCAAATTTACCCTCCACCTTACACAGGAACAACCACATTCACTTTAGCTCAAATATTCAGATTAGGAATAAATGCATTTTATTTAGCAACAAAAGTTGAGCCTAAAACAAAATTCAAAGTGCAGTTTGTTTCTAATAGTTTGCAGCCTGCAAATGTCACCTAAATACTCAGAGAAATACTGCAGGCTGGTATTCCTAACAACATGATTGTGCATTATGCCCTGAGACCATGGCATTGAAACGACAGGCTGAATGGTCTAGCAGAGTGTTTATATATATATAAGTTCAGATCTTCAGGTAAAGGTTGAAAAGTCCAGAATGAAAATGTGCAATAAAAGCAGACGGGTTATTTAGTGTATCATTTGGTGCCTTTGAGTGAAAATAATGTCAGACTACATTAGCGTGATTGCTTATGTAGCAATGCTAAAGTCTTTAACGTTGAACAGTGAAATAATACTTTGATTTATCTGATAAAGCTACGTTCAGACTGCAAGCAGCAGGAGCAGCAAAAACACGCTGCTTCAATTTTGATGCTTGTACCAGTTTTTAGTAGCATCTTTGCTGCTCTAGCTGCGAGGTGGAAGTAGTGGGTCTGATGCGCGGTGGGCGGAGCTACCCTATCCTTTCTCTGTCTGTAACAATGGCAGCTATATTAGCTGTGATCAGCAGGTAAAAAGTAGTTAGAATCTATGTTGAAGTGAGAAAGTCCTCCTGAAAACATGGTCTGTGCAGTCAGTTCATCCACATTACCATCCTGCCTTCAAAGATTATTTCTCTGTGGGAGCCGCTCAGACCCCCACATACCGGCGCTGCGCTGTCACTGGGAATCCCCAGCAGCTGCTGCCTCAGGCCCGGGAGCCTCTATGCGGTTTGCCGCTACTGTTCGCAGCAGCTGGAAGTAGATGTTAACGCTTTTCAAGTACGTAATCCAAACTGCAGACACCAGGATAATAAAAGCAAACATATTCTGCCGGCAGGTTTCTACATTTGAAGTTAATTTAGGCGTTAATAAACTGTTTCAGAGGAGTGATCATAGCGCTCTGCATCAGCAGTGCTGCGTCTGACTCCCTGCCAGCTCCCAGATCAGCTTCTCTGATTGGTTGATGTGGCGCATCGAGCAGCAACACGCATCAGATACTCAGGAGCTTGTGAGGCGCAGCTCCTGCTGCTCAAAACGCGCTGCAGGATCTTTTGTTGCACCTTGATGTGCGTCAACCATTGACTTTGCATGTAAACCTGCTGCTGCTGCCTCTGCTGCTTGCTGTCTGAACTTAGCTTTCTGCTGCAGCCTGGAGAACACGGACCAACCATCCCATCAACTCAGCTTTGCTTTCTGATGCCTACAGCAGGGAAGGCACCTGGAGGTTAAAGCTGGACGGTTTGGCTCTGATGTGTGGAAGGGGGGGGTCAGAGTGAACCATCCAGGCTGGAGGCGACAGCTACATCTACTTCAACATACTGAGGACCAAAATAATCTATCGAATCTTAAAGTTATTTCCGATTATTTGCAGGAAAGTTGTCCTTCAGTTTGTGAAATCAAAGTAGATGCGACTCGTCCTGCAGGATGCAGGTTAAATGAAGACTCAGACAGCTTGAAGGAGCATCAGGGAGGGGGAACACCATCATTTCTGCAAGGGGGAATAATTCAAGGCTGAGGCTCCTTCTATAAACTTTTCTTTTTAGTGTTTCTCCTTTAGATCAGGCTTTTATAACGACGTACTATTAGTATGTTAGGAGCTTTGCTCTGACTAAAGATGCACTTAGTGGCTTCTACTCATCTACTGGACCTTTTCTTTATTCTATCATCTAAAATTGACCTCATTTGACCTCTTTGGTTCATCTCAACATTTAAAAATAGGATCAGACAAAGTAAAGCTTTAAATATGAAAGTATGATGCTTTTCTTATTTTTCCTGATGATTCAGCTCACCAGGAAACTAGGCATCCTGTAGAGGCCACCATAAACCTAAACTAAAGAGGCATCTGCACAGATTTAGCCCCTGGGGAGGAAACGTGTTTCAGAACTTCCTGGTTTCTCCAAACGTCTGGATGATTGAGGAGGTGCAAAGATCACCAGAAGTGGAGGATAAATGACTCTGGAAGGGAAGTAGGCAAACGTGGGATCCTGCGGACGTCGTCCAGATCAGCTTCAGGATTCACCTCACACGCTTTCATTCCAAGAGCTTTGTTAATTTTCCATTTGATTGCACAACAGATATGTCACATTATATGTGGAAAAAACGGCATTGATTCGTTTTACATAAAAAAACAGAACAAAACAGGAACTTTAACAACTATGGAGATCAAACGTGTGCAGAGAGAAAATGCAACAAATCTAAACAGCAGTGCAGGCACCGAGTCCGAGAGTCTGAAATGTTTCCCAGTATCTATAGTGGTACTAGACACATCCATGACGGCCACTTTATAAAGGCAAAACAAAAGGAAACAGGTGCATTCACCAAAGTGGAATATGACTAGAACTAAACCAGTGGTCCAAACGCAGCGGGCGTCTGCAGAGTCGTCACACAGCTGGAGAACTGCTGCAACATCTGTGGAGGAAGACAAACAGAGTCTGAGCAGCAGTGAAAGGAGCCAAACATCATCCGACACGCTGAGCTCAAACACCAACGACTAATTAGTCTGTTCATTCCTTTAGAGAAGGGGTTCCCCAAAGTGGGGGGCCGGGGCCCCATGAGATGGTATTCATGATCATTGTGCTCAGATGCCTCAGGAATACGGAGGGTCAAAGTATTTTACATTTTTCAGAATTTTCTAGAAAGAAAATAAAAAAGCCAAGAAACAAATAAATATAACATTGAATCATTTTCAAACATTAAATGTAGCATTAAAGTGTTAAATGTTACAATAAACTAACAATTATTTTGCTAATTGATTTAATCTGTTGATTCCTTTTTGATTAATCGATTAATAATTGAAAAGCAAAGGGTTCCTTAACCCTTTAAAGCCCAATCCAAGAATAAAACAAAACAGAAAATTACTTTTTTTTGGTTTGAAGTCCTTATTTGGCCTTTTAACAAAATATATAAAAAGAAAAAACAGAAATACATTTTTGATATTAATAATTTATTACTATGCGATAAGTCAAGATTATTTTTTGTGTAGTCTTCTACTGGCTGTTATCAGGTATATCTGATTGTGTACAATAGGATTTTGAGCAAAGTTTTTACCATTAAATTATGCAAAAGGTGTCAGACGCAAAACTTTTCAGAAACCGTATGTATCAAATACGATACGTTTGGCATTACAGGGTTAAAGGAATAAAGGAGCATCTTTTATTTCTGATGCTCATCTCACTAAGTGTGTAACCAGTCAGGTGATTAACCAGGACTGGCTGATATTCCTCACAAATCTAATCTGACTTTTTTCATAAATTTTTCCCTCGCTCAGGTTTGATCATTCAAACATTATAATTGATTTAGATTTCTTTCACAATCGAGCTCTTAATTCGATCTGTCGCCAGGAGGAAAACTTCAATCAAAGGGATTAAAGCTTCAGAGTCGTTCTGGAAACAGAGATAAAGTCCAGAAGGGTCAATCGTCCAAAACTGCTGACGAATTCAGTTAAAAACCAGGAGTAAACAATTATTTGCATTTGCAATAAAATAATTTAAATAAATACAATTTCCAGATCACTGGCCTACATGTTTGGGCCTCTTTACATATCAGGTCTAAGATGTGTTTGCCACCAAACCAGAGAGCAGAGAGACTCTGAAGGCCAAGAAACCCTGAAACCCTGGAGCTGAACAGCTGCTGGTTGGAGAAGAGCAAAATGGTTCAATTAATTCTGTTTGATTACTGAAATATTGGTCAACTAATGTGCCGATGCAATTGAATTGTTGACCCTAAAACCTGCTAATCGGTGATGGTTAAACTCAGAGCAGAAACCGAGCCTAAGGAACTAAAGATATTAAAATCTTCCATTTCAGATCTTTCAAGAAGTCATCAGCAGGCTGTTTTTTTAGCTTCACTTGGTTCAAAATATTTAATGAAGCGCCTCCTGCTACTTCAGTCCAACTGCCAACATAGAGTCTGAATGAAGCCGACAGTGGAGCCAACAGATAAAAGATTCATCAGCCGCCTGATATTTGCTGCCAAAACCACAGTTTGGTCCCCCCCCCTAGGTTGTGTCCCTCTCTTCTTGTCCCTTTTCTTCTTGTTTTCCTCTCTATGTTTTGTACTCAGCTGACTTTTCATGCTGTCTCTAAAGGAATGAAAGATTTTTTCCAAGCACTAAGCTCACTTAGCTGATTGCTCCTTCCTGTGTTTCCATAAAGGCCAAAGTAAATAACCCAGTCCTTCTTTTCACTGTAGACAAGCCATGATCAGCAAATGGAATGATCCAATATGGTGGACACTGAAGGGGGGGTCTGAGACACACTTAATATTATCAGCGTTCTGATGGCATTTTAGTGAAAGGATTTTGATCAAAAACATAATTAATATGCATAAATTAGGAATAGTTGTATTAAGTATACATTGAAACAGAGTTATGTTTCCAAAAGCATAACTCCGATTCCCAAACCTGGAAACTGACTAGTATTGCCTAATGGTCAATCTGTTGTATTTATAATCAAGTAAAAGCTGAATGCTTAAAACTCCAGGATTAGAGCTAAACAGCAACAGGCAGGGAAGAGGTTGTCAAACCAAAACTCTTATCTCTGATGCTGGGGTCAGAAAAACTTCTGCTAGAAAGAAGAAACCACAGATTTAATCTCTACACATTTTAGACCACAGATTTATATAGTCTGCCGTTCCTCTTTAGAGATGGAAAATCAAAGATAAAGTGGTCAGATGTTCTAATAATAATTGATTTTTCCCCCATCCCACACTATTTCACACTGTTTTAGGGCATTAAGGCCGTCTTGTTCTGTTCCCACAGTAGCTTAATGTTTTCAGAGTTCAGACATTTAGTCACACTGAACAGATTTGAGCTGAGACCAAACATCTGGGCTGCATGCTGTAGTTCTCCCTGTTACTGCCAGTTTCTCTAAATCAGAGCGTAAACCGTTTGAATATGTGGAGACTCACCTTAAGCCAAACTTGTCCTCAGCAATTCCTTGGAGAAAAGCTTGTCTTCGTGTTCAGCAGGGTCTTTCTCCTCCTCCGTCTCCTTCGCCTCCTGGATGTTTTGTCCGTCTTCTTCCACGCCGAGGAGCACGCTCTGCCGTACGCTAACAGAGATCACCAGCGCCTGCACGATGCCGTAGATCAAGGCAAACTGAGGGAGGTACTCCTGAACCAACCACAGCAATCCGGCCATTCCGGCCGTTGAGACAAAAAACATGGCCATGCCATGAAACCAGAGGCGCAGCGCTCCCTGGACCCCCAACACCTCCAGGATCAGCTTGGCAGGGGGGGACACGGTCCACAGGAAGGCCACCACAAACAGGTCAAACAAGTGGCGCAGGAAGTTGAAGCAGATCTCGTAGTGCTCCGGGACAATCTCCAACTTCCAGCTGCTTGCAAAGAATCGGAACGGAGAGGTGAAGCGGGAAGGAGTGGGGGAGGGAGGGGGGGTCCCATAATCAGAATAGTCTCCATCAACATCATCCAGCTGTGGACCCCCCCTCCTCTGTCTCAGTCCACTTTTATCTGCTTTTCTTGGCCACAGATAGGATGTTGGGAGGTATTTGCTCCACCAAGCTGCCTCTGGCTTCTTAGATCCCAGCTCCTCCAGCTTCTCCTGGGCCTCCCAGTACTCCTCTGCTGGACCGGCCTGGTCTCCTCCTCTCCTCCAGCCTCCCACCATCCAGGATGCCCACCCTCTGACACCCCCCTCCCCTCCACCATGCTGCTTTAGGGACGCAGCTGTGGGATTTAGGGGGGCAGAGCCTCTCCAGGAGCGCAGCCAGCCCCATGCTCTCCCCACCGCAGCAGCCATGGCTTCTTTATGGCTTTATTTGGGGGAAAGAAATCAAAATAAAAACCTTGGAGGTCAGTATGTCCAGATAAAGGCTCGGCGTGACTCTTTCCCGGCGGTTCAGGCCGGGGCCCCGGGCCAGACACACCCGTAAGGTGTGGCGAACCAGTTGTGCAGTTCAGGGGCCTTCTGGGCCTCCGTCCATCGCTAACTGATCGGAGGCAGCAGGCAGGAGAGCTCGGTGCTAAGCTGGAAACACTGGCCTGATCCCAGTAAACATCAGACCTTCACACTGGAAGAGCTCCCAGCATGTTTCCAAAAGCATAACTCCGATTCCCAGACCTGGAAATAAACACAGTCATTCTACTTTGGGTATTTCTACCACGTCAACATCAGAGCTACCATGCTAACGCCATAGAAACTTTCATTAGCGGCTAACAGGCGGAGCTAAGACACTGAAAAAGGCTTTAATGTCGCTCAAACTTTTCTCCTGTTGAGTTTAACGGTCTTTAAACGCTGCTTATGTGACATTAAACTGTTTTTCTTACCTTCGGACAGGTTAGCTCATCTACCTGGAGCTTTCTGAGGGGTCCGTTCCCGAGCCTGCGGGCCGAAGGAATGCGCCTTTCATCGGGCTGAGGATCAGCAGCATCCAACCGGAGGATGGGGACACAGACCTCCGACCTCAGGCTCACCTCCAGCCGTCAGTCAGCCCGACAGAACAAGGGCCGCTACCGGAAACCAGCTCACCTTCAAAATAAAAGCACCAGGCCGTTCTGTATATAATATATAAACATCCGGTAGCAGCCAAATGGGCCTTCCCAGGAAAAACTTCCAGCCTCTGGCCTCATGGCTGTCCTTCCTGTTACTGACCCCACCCTTTCACTAAATTACAGGGTCTGACCAGGATGATGCTTCTCTTTAGATCTTTGTCAACAAATCAAGAAAATAGTATTTTAGATGTTAAGGCATTGTAAGGGACTAGCCAATATATGTTGAATATTAGTCATACCACTAACTCACCTACACTTTAATGTAAAAGCCAATCCTTGATTGTACATATGTCACCTCAAATCTGTTTTACTCCCTTGTATTTATCATTTTATGTATTTTCATTCTTAATGCACCTTTTCCTCCTCGTTTGCACCTTCTTTAATCACTATGCCAATATAAGACCAGTGTTTTTCTTCACTGTGAGATCAATAAAGCTCATCTAATCGGCCCATCAAGGAAAGCGGGGACATTTTGAATGGCTACAACTGTAACATTTAAGCCTCAAATTTAACTTTTAAATTCCAAATGTAAAAATGAATTTGAATTAAAACTAGTGATCGATACTGTAGATTGTGTTTAACATAAGTAGCAGGTAAATGACTTCTGCTTTCCACCAGAGGCAAATAAAACCAGGCTTTATTCAAAGTAAACCATTATTTGAGAAACACCCAAAGACACTGAAGACTGCTTCATGTTCAGCTTTTATTTGACCAATATTCCACATACAGTCAAGTGAAAATGCTTTACAAAGGATTACATTTTACAATCTTTATTCAAATGAACCACATGTGGAAAAAATTGACAGAAGAACCAGAATGAATCCATCGACAAAGGCTATAAAGCCTTTATTAGCAGTTCACCTGTGAAGAAAACAAAAGGTTAATTTTCCAGTTTAAGATACTGTGCAAGACACCATTCCAAAACAAGGCTACACCCTGTTGGCAGTAATTTGATTGCTGCTTGCTTTGCATAGCTTCTCCAAAGCTCCAGACTGACGGTCTCAGTGCGCTGCGAGTAAACTTCAGTTAGCATCAGTAGAACCGAATAACTGCATCATCATTGACCAATCAGACATGTGGAGCAGTGGATCCAACAAACAGGAGATTTAAACTCTGAAACCCCTTTTTTGCAAACACAGCATTGCCTTAAAGCAGGCGTGCCCAAAGTCAATCCCAGAGGGCCGCCGTGTTAGCCATTCCAGCATCTTTTACTTAGAGTCACAAATAAACTACTGTATTCACAAAATGTTTGAAATACTCACAAGTATGCATCCCAATAGACATCAGATGACCTGTAGATGAGAACCAATGAGTTAAAATATTTAGATAAAAAAGCAACAGCAAAAACATGGATGTTTTAGCTCATTAACTGCAAACCGCTAGAAACCACATGATGAATGGTTTCCAGTATAAGCAGTTCAAGGATAAATCATCCATTTTAAGCCGTGCTTTTGTGGTCAGTGAATTGAAAACAACTTCATGGTGTTTTTGTCAGAGACTCTAGTCCAAAAATCATCATCCCACTTAAAGCTTGCAGAAGCAGCATGTAGATCCCAGGCTTACCTGCAGTGAACCGGTCCATTTATGGGCACCTCAACGATGCCTACAACAAAACAAAGAATGAAAATTAGGAGAAGCTTTTACTAATCCAGATTAGAATGAACATAAGCATAATGCTTATTCAGTGTAATTTGAAATAGCCTCATCATATTATCAGAGACTCTAGTCTTATGAATCATCATCACAGCATTTTAACTCCGTGGTAGGACTGGGACATGCATTTTAAAACCCAAGCGCTCAATTCTACTCAGGACCAGAAAGACGTTTTTGCAAACCGTGTGTAGACACAGGAAATGAAATCCAGGTTTAGCTGATGTCATTACCATGCAATAGTAGATAATATACAATAATGCCTTGAGATGAGAAACAGGCTGTTTAAATGTCAGGATGTAATGCTTCCAAGTAGCACAATTTCCCCAGATGCAGTTCATTATGGTGGTTAAGGTGTCCACAAAATCCTGAGATTGAGAGTTCAAAACCCACTCCCACAGACTGCCACTCTGGCTCTGAACAAGACACTTAAACCCTAATTGCTCCCTGGGCGCCCCACCATGGCAGCCCACTGCTCCCGCTTAAATACAGAGTTGATTTCTCCATTGTGAGTGTAATAAAATTCAATTTATTTATTAATAATCTTATGGACTCTCTGCATTGTTTAAGTTGACTGTTAAGAAAGGGACAGAAAGTGGTTTTCCCCTCTTAGAACTGGAGGTTTATTACTCAGATCTCCTGAGATTGATCAACATTACTGAGGATCATTTCATGCCCAGCTCTACTAATGAGGATATCATAACTCACCATCATCTTAAGCCCGCTCATCCAACTTTCACCCTGCAGCCATTTTCTATGTGGTGCTGAAAAACAAGCAGAGCAAAGAAGAGATTAAGAATTGATTAGTTGTATAATTAAACACAATGTCAAATACTGACGCAAAGGTGAACTAAGAACGAGAAAAAACAAATAACGACTGGTTACCTTGACATGGAGCCATGGTTACCAAGGCCCAGCCCCATGACTCAGGTTTTAGTTGGTTTAAGGATGACGCTGTTTCATTACTAACACCTCATTGCTGTTGTTCTGGTGCTTTCTGTGCAGCCGGGCTGAATGAACGGATCATCGGCCGGTCTTGGATCACCCCGCCTCTCGTCTCGTGGCCATCCCACGTGCTCCGTCCGCAGAACCGCTGCATTTAGTGCTGTTTACTTTCAGCGCGCGACAAAAATAACACCTCGGAAAGAAAACGCTCTGTGTTTTACACAGACATGCATCCCACGCGTGCATTCGGCTGTGTTTTTAGTTTCATTCATGACAATCTACCGTGTAGGTCAACCCTTCTACCAGGACACTCGCCAAAAGAGGCAGAGCAAAGCCTGGAAGCGTATTTATATGGGTCCAGCCGAGCTCCTTAGGTGTCCTAAAATATGCCCGGTTCGTTTTCTACCCTTTTTTTCCCCTATTTTTTTTTTTAATTTTTACTAATTTTAATTTTGATGCCGTTTCTTCAAATGTAAACCATTGGGAAAATGATACAATATCTTATGTTACATCTTTAAAATTTGCAAAAACCAAAAGTGCCGGAAATTTTCTTTCTTTTGTGAGTAAATTTAATCTGCTGGTTTAATGCCCTGTTCTTCAGTCTATGTATAATATAATAATGCCCCTTTATTATTGTTATTTTATTCTTTTTATTATTGTTCCCTCTCCTTTTATCTTTGGTTTTCTTCTATATTAAGATATGCTTTATATACTTTCTGTGAATGCTGTTTATACAGTTCTGCGCTGGTACCTGATGTATGTTAACGGGTTAAATAAAGTTTTTTTGAAAAATAAATAAAAAAATGTAAGGAGCTTGTTCAACGATTTAAATTTAGATATCTGTTAATATTTTGTGATATTATTAATTTTATGTAAAATAAATCTGATTTAAATCATATGAAATCACAGTTTTAAACTTGTTTGTAATGTTATTTTAATTTAACGGGCTTTCGGAAAGACTAAGCAGAAAAATGGATGTTTATATGGTGTATAACAGTTTATAAGATGTTATGCTGAGAAGTGCACTACCATAGACATGTGTCTCTGTGCTCAACATTACCGTCACCTACTGTACAATAGTTTGAAACGCACGTCTCTGGTTCTTGGTCATATTCTGTTCATTGATCCCGTAACTTAAAAGCTTAAAATTCTATTTAATTTTAGTTCATTTATATAGGGCCAATTCACAAGACATGTAATCTCAAGGCCCTTTACAGAGACAATTCAACCAGATCATACAGTCCAAGAAAACCAGTTGATTGCATCGACTCATTGCTCGAAATTAATCCCTTAAAACAAGTATGCTTATAGCGAGAGTGGAGAGGAAAAACTCCCTTTTAACAGGAAGAAACCTCCAGCAGAACCAGGCTCAGTGTGAGGCCCACTGGGGTTCAAGGAGACAGAAGCAGACATAGAAAAAGAAGCATAGATACAAAAGGCAACTGTCAACCAGCTCCACAGGCGGCCCCGTCCAGGAAACACACAGCCAGGCAGACGAGCTCCGAGCCAGCTCCCATGTCAGAGGATGAAGAGAGCACATCCAGTGAAAAATCATTACTTTGAAGTTGTTTTCAAACTTTAAAGCAATAATTATGAGATATTAATGGCAGCTCCAACAGCTACATTGAAAAAGGGGTTTATTGAATATTAGTAATGTTAATCTGATGTTAGTCTGATTTCTTACAGGAAGATCAAATTATAAAACAGTGGTCTGGTTATAGAATTCAAAGATTATTAGTTGAATAGTTAAAACTATAGACTTTTTGCATCCCTCCCTGTTTTGTTTATGACATCTTCTGCGGTGAGACAGCTAGAACAAAGTTAGTGCACCTGTGTTTCATCAGAACAAGGGTTTGATCACTCTGTCTGTTCTCACCTTGCAAGAGTTTCATATGATTAAAGTGTCTGTATAATTATGTTTACTCTTCTCTTTTGTTAGCTGCATTCATTAAACTGCAATGTTCTTTTTTTCACCATTTATAGCCCAGTTGATTAATTAACAGGTCAATTTTATTATCATATAGTCAAATTGAATTTGATTCATTAGAATATAACTTTATGATTGAAACCCTAAAACATTTTGGTTTTGAACATAAATTATTAAAATTCTTCACTCAGATATTATCAGTTGCAAACCCCCAAAAGGAGCAAGCCCGAGATTTACAGTAAAGAAATCCATTAGCTATTGGAGGGATTGACCTCTACTACACATTACAGTCACCAAGCTCTTGAGAAACTCCACGAGTTATAAAGTGAGTTATAAATCATAATATCATCATAGACAAGTTAGCAGATATTCTGGTTATTCAAACATTGGAGGTGTTTCAAAGATGCAGGTTGAAATCTAAAGTAAACGTAAGTTGTTGTTTTTTTAAATCATATTTTTATTGTTGTTAAAACATGTACAATGCCATTCAAATTGAAGTGTTTTGCAGTTGTTACAATTATTTTGACCATGTACAGTATAACAAGAATCAAACAGCATTTTTAACATTTTTATGAACCCCATTCAACCCCAAAAACCCCTGTGCCGGCAGGAAAATAAAAATAACTTAATAAAAAAAAATATTGAAAAAAGGAGATTGTTATCCCAGAATGAAAACACTTTACATTGAGACTTGTTTAGTAGCGAGAAGCGAGATTTGTAAGTTTGTCAAAATAACCCAATAGAGGGTTGCATACTTTGTAAAATTTTTGGTTGATCCTTTAAGTAAATGTAAGTTAATGATTTTTTCCTGTTAATATACATACAAAAACAAGCCAAACTAAAGCCTTAGTACTCCGGATGGAAATGTATGTCATTTAGAACTAGGTACTGTCAGACTCATGGATACATTCATAATAAATAACTGGCAGCAGAGAGACAGGAACCAAAATATAAACCCGGTCCAGATTTCTATAACCTGCACAATCCCTGCTTATATATCCAAGAAATAAGAAAATAAATTGATGAAACATGGATTTAAACACCATTGTATACATTTAGAGAATTAATAATACATTATAAAGGGAGAGGCATAAAAGAAACAGATTTGAATATAATGAATGATGGTTTAAAGAACAACAGTCATGAGGTTTGCTTCACTTTGCTCACAGGATATGTTGGGTTTTTATATTATATGACTATGACATTTCTTAACAATCTAATTAAATGATCTGATTGGTGAACAGAGAACTGCTTACAAACAGTTTGGATCTAATATGGCTGAATGAAATAACAAGGCTGGTTTACAATGAAGGGATTATATGTTCATGGAAAACCAAGATGAAAAGAAAATGCAGTCAAATAGGCAGAATCCTTATAAATTATAACATAGTTTTTACTTTAGCACAATTAATTAAAGTCCGTTCTGGCACAGTCAAGAATTAGGGTTTATAAAACTGAAATAAAAGAATCTATGTTCCCTTATGATATGCATAGTAAGGGATGTATTTATTTCAGTTATTTTATTCACCGTCAGGCAGATGAACCATCTGCCTCCTTATCAAACCCAGAGAAAAAATAAAAAGTATAAGCTAAAATACATAAAAATACGATTGCTGCAAATAGCTCCAACAATGTAAATTAACTAGTGTTGGTTTTTGTTTTAAACACCTTCATGAAACATCTTATTCATACTGAGGGATTTGATGTGCTAAATAAAAAATGAAAAAAAAAAAAAAAAAATCCTTAAGAAATCATAAAGACAAGATTCAAAGACATTTTATCCCAGCGCTGCGTGTCTGGAGCCCGGTACATCATCAATGACCCCTCAAACCCCCCCCCCCCCACCATGGACTGTTCTCCCTGCCGCCCTCTGGGAAGAGACTTCGAAGCATTGGATGCAGATCCAGCAGATTCCAGAAACGTTTCTTCCCAACCGCCATTAAACTTCTGAATGTTGTGTAAAATGGGTTATAAAAAAAAGACAAAAAAAAAAAAAATATGTTAGATCTTACAGTCATATGTTTACATTACTGTTTTTTTCGTCACAATGTTTTATCACTGCTGCTTACCTTATCAAGGCATCACTTTAAACAATGAAATTGTCTAGAGCTGTTCTTAACTAAATTTCTTTGTGTTTACACTTGTGTGTACAAAGTCTAAAACATCTAACATGTCTTTTAAAAATAAAAGAAAAAAGAGAATTATTGAAAGGACACAGGCTTCTACATTAAATTGTAATTGTAAAATTATTATGTTATATCTCTATGGAGGTTTCTTCCTGGTGAGGAAAAGAAGAAGAATAAAAAACAATCCGTCATTGGGGCGTGTGGATGGTCGTTTGGTGCATGGCACTTGTTTCGAAGTCGCTCGTGAAGAAATGTCCTGGGCCGTGAGTAGTGAGGAAACAGGAAGCGATTCTTGTGGGATGGAAGAGGGTAATAGTGACAATGAAGAAGATTGGAAGATAGCAACATCAAAAAATGAGAAAAAGCGGAAAAAACAGAGATCAGTTAAAGGGAAATCCAGTTCAGAACAATCCAGTGATGATCAATCCATACATTCCACAGCACAACTAAATGAATACAAAGTCATATTCAAAGTCGTTAATCAGGCAGACTCTTTTACAAATTGGAATCCGGTTGACTTAACAAAAACCATAAATAAACTTGTTGGAGAAGTCAGAAGTGCCAGAATTCTGTACAGTGGAGACCTGCTAATTAACTGCAGAGACAGCGCCCAGCAAGGCAAAGCAATACGAATTCAAAACCTCTAGAGAAATGTCCAAAAATGGAAGAAGACTCACTAATTGTTAAAAAGAGAGATTTTGTTCTTTTCATGGTTGAAGTGATCAATTGTACTGCATAGACGACAAGAAAAACCGAAAAAAATCAAAATAATAGTGAAAGCTGCTGAAAAATATCTGGACGTGAAAGATTGGGACTGGGAGATTGTTGGAAGCATGATGGGAGGACCAATGGGACCATCAGAAACTGGCAGAGTGATGATGACTTAAAGTAAATTAAAATTATAAGGGAAAATATGATTTAGTATTATGTGGGATTAAGTTACACAGGTTTTTTTTGTTTTTTGGGGTGAATCGTTTCCTGTTTCCTTGCTTTACTCCATATCAGTTGGTGGCGGTAATGCGCATTTCACAAGTTTGCCAACCGCCATAAAACCTCATAAGAAGAAGAAGAAGAGGTTTCTTGGACTGTGCAGAAAAAAATAACAGAATTCAAAATAGATCAGATTAGTATAAGCCAAACAGTTCCATTATCAGTTATACAACCATGGATAATTACAGATGCTAGGGTAGATTTTACTTTGTTGGAAAGAAGGAAGGATAAGGAACTCATATTAAACTCATATATAGTACAGGATTATATTAATAAATATTATAAGTATGTAAAAATTTATACAGATGCCTCTAAAAATATAACATATCAAATAGGAGTAGCCTTTATCGTACCAGAATTTAATGTTAAAATTAGGAAAAGGATAAGTGATGGACTTTCAGTTTATACGGGAGAAATGATTGCTATATTATTAGCTGTTCAATGGGTGGAAGAAGTTAAGCCATTAAGATCAGTCATATGTTCAGATTCTAGTTCATCTTTAATTAGTTTGCAGTATAGTCACTCAGAAAGCAGGCCAGATATTTTAATAGAAATTCAACAGACTCTATATAGAATAAATATGACGGGTTTAGTTATAAATTTTGTATGGATACCGGCACATTATGGAATTAAAGGAAATGAACAAGTAGATAAGGCAGCAAAAGAAGCTGCTAAAAATGTGTCAGTGGATCTATTTGTTAATTTTAGCAAATCTGAAGTTGAAATTTTAATTAAACAGAAAATAAAGGATAAATGGCAAAACGAATGGGAGAAAGGAAATAAAGGACGTTGGTTTTATAAAATTCAAAAGAAAATTGGAGAAATGGGAAGAACAGAAAGAACAAGAAGAGAAGAAACAATCATTTCTCGATTGAGGTTTGGTCATACTGGATTAAATGTTACTCTGTTTATCTTAGGAAAACATAGGAATGGGAAATGTGAATATTGTGGGGTAGATGAAACAGTTGAGCACGTGATGTTATACTGTAATAAATATTAGGAGGAGAGACAGCAATTCATTCAAAATTTGAGTAAAATAAAAGTTAAATTAGATTTATTTCAATTACTCAGAAGTTATTCAGATAGTAATATTTGCAGTATAGTATTTCGATATCTAAAAATAACACATTTATATAATAGAATTTATTTCCTGAGAGTCATTCTGGTCCACACTCCATTCCAGTAGATGGCGGAAATGCATCTATCTGTTGTTTGCCAACCACCAAAAAATATCAAAGAAGAAGAAGAAGAAGAAGAAGAAGAAGAGGAAGAAGAAGAAGAGGTTTCTTCCTGTTCAAAGGGAGTTTTTCCTCTCCACTGTCACTACAAGCATGCTTAGTGTGAGGGATTGCTACAGAGTCAATGAGTCAATGCAATCAGCTGGTTTTCATTGTAGAAAACTTACATCAGAATCAAGAATCAATCTGACTGGAAGATCTGGTGAACTGTAAAGTGACCTGAGATGTCATGTGATGTGAATTGGCGCAATAGAAATAAAGTGAATTAATTTTTTTATTTTGTTTTTTATCTAATTCTTTGAAACTCCTCTCAAATAAGTTTTTGAATGGCTACTTTTTACTTTTACTTCAGCAAAAATGTTATTAAGTAGTGCTACTTCTGATTAAGTAGTATTTTTGGTTACCTTGGTCACCCTTGGTTTGTCGTTGCTTATTGTTTTAATAAAGTTTTTTGAATCACATCGAACTACATATACCAGCCGCGCACGCGCTTTGGGTGTGGATGCCAGGTTTAACCGACCAAGCCCCGCCCACTGCAGGCTTCCTCCCAAACTGGCAACACAGAAGGAGCCACTCTGCTGTCGTCACTCAGTCGGGAGGAAAATGGCGACCGCCTATGAAAGATACAATTTGTAAGTAATCTTCATTTAATTCGGGTTGCTACCCTGTTAGCAGTTCTCCTCTCAGTCTAACGTTAACAACTACAGACACAGAAAACCGGCTTTTGAAGCTAAAGCGGAAGTTGAAGAGTGTAGGCTGAAGTTTGCTGACTGGATCGAAATGCAGAGCAGCAGTCAGTCAGTCAGTCCAGCTTCACCTTTCCCTCATTTATTATGAAACACACACAGAAGGCAGGGAGCGATGGAGACTGTCGGTCTGCTCCAGGTCTGCCTCTCCCTGTAGAGCAGTCAGTGTTCCTGTCTCACTGTTACACTGTCTTCCGTGAAGCTGCTGGTGGTTCATTAAACAGCTGGCAGGTGTTGTGCCGAGAATTACCTCCCCTGTCGCGGGAGCGCGCATCGCCCTAAATTGAAATATCGATTGAAATCAAAAGGAAAAGGGAACTTTCTAACTTATTATGACTGTTTTTTCAGAAATTATATAGAATGATGTTGGTTGTCATCCACTGAGCAGAGAATTTATTCACCGCTCACTGACTGGAGCACATCTAGTCTCCATACAAGTTAAAATCTATTAATTCAAATTTATCTGTCCACCAAAACTATCAATTTTAGGGCATCCATGCATAAGAAATATATTAAAAAAAATTAAGAATATGTTTAATAGTTCAATTTTTGTTCATATTTTTTTCTCATTAATGTGCGAGTTTGGAGCGATGCGCGCTCCCGCGGCATGGGAGGTCATTCTCGGCACAACACCTGCTTCAGTCACAGCTCACAGCTCGCCTCGTTGTTTTCTAAGCCTGACAACGGTTTGCTTTTTTCCAGACACACCTTTCATTCACAATGTGAGTCACTCAGCCCCACCTGTTAGCCCTCTGCTTGAAGGTTTGGCTGCTTGGTGAACATGTTCACCTGGAAGGGGGGGTAGGGTTAGTGGGGGTGAAGGAGAACTACACCTGGTTCTGGTTCTGTTTTGGAAAATGAAACATTGCTTCTCTGGCAGGGGTGGATTTACCATTAGGCAATACTGGGCAGTTTCCTAGGGCCCCAAGTTCCTGGGGGGCCCCATAAAACTCTGTTTAAATGTATGATTAATACAACTATTCCTTGTTTATGCAAATTAATTATGTTTTTGATAAAAATCCTTTGGCTAAAATGCCATCAGAAAATTTATTATAAGTGTGTCTCAGCCCCCTCCTTCAGTGTCCACCATATTGGATCAGTCCATTTGCTGCACATGTTCAGAAAGGTCCAAACAGACAGCAGCAAACCATTTGAAAACAAACCATGCAAAGAGCAGTGTTGCCAACTTAGCGCTTTAGTCGCTATATTTAGCCACTTTTCAGACCCCTCTAGCACTTTCATTTCTAAAAAGCTCCTAGCGCCAAATCTTGCCACATTTTTCTGCTACTGGAGACTTTGGAGACAACATCTAAAAGCAGCGAACTCTGCTCTCCAGAGCGAGTAGATTGGTAACCCCGCCTCCTGCTCTCCTCTATCTTGTCTGCTGTCATGATTCATGCAGCTATTATTTCATCCAAATGAAAAATGGAGAACAGATAAGCAGATCATGGCTTTTCTACAGTGAAAAGAAGGACTGGGTTATTTACTTTGGCCTTTTTGGAAACACAGGAAGGAGCAATCAGCTAAGTGAGCTTAGTGCTTGGAAAAAATCTTTCATTCCTTTAGAGACAGCATGAAAAGTCAGTTGAGTACCAAACATAGAGAGGAACACAAGAAGAAAGGGGACAAGAAGAGAGGGACACAACCTAGAACAGATAATGGATGTCTATTCTATTAACATTTATCTATCTGTAGAATGGGGCTGTTTTATGTGTTCTCATTCAGAGGGCCCCCTGCCTGTCTTTGCCTAGGGCCCCAAATGTCCTAAATCCACCCCTGTTCTCTGGACAGCTGAAGGTTTGTTTTTGCTGCATCAAGCTGTTCTGGGAGATGATTCAGTTTAGGAGGGTTTGAATCCCTGCTTGTTGAGACTGGTCTAGATTAGCAAAGAGCAACAGTAAAGCAGCCTGCCACATTGTCTTTAAACGCTTACAGCCTTTTAGCCGACGTTCATCAATGATCCAATCTGACCTAAATGTTGCAGAGATTAGATGCCTGTATGACCCCCCCGCCCTGTAAATCCAGTACTCCCTGCTGTACAGCCCTGTGCTGTCACCACTCCTTGATGGTCTAAGCTCAGTCCAGGCATGTTTGGCTCACGTTGAGCCGAAATATAACAGAAACTAATGGCTGTAAGGAAGCAATCATGCTGGTTTAGAAACAGTCGGCTTTCAGGAAAAGGTTTTTCTGTATGTTGGAGGTTTAGCTGATGGATCGAAGCTCTGTACTCCTGATAAAGACTCTTTGTTCGGGTCACAGACGTTGTTCAGCTCAGGAGCAGAATGGGCCGATTTGTTTCTCAGCTTAACGGCCATATCTGCTTTCAACAACTGGTTTATACTGGTTCTGGCCCAGTTCTGGTTTTTAGCACAGTAAAACAGAACTTTTTAGATTTTCCTTTTTGGCACTTCTCAAATGATCAGCCACCAAACATGAACATCAAATAAAACAAGCACATTTTAATGATTTAGTCCCTTTATAGGCTAGTTTAGCTGGTTATCAGCTAATATAGTTCTCAGGAAAAAATAACCAGGTTGAACTTTATATCCTGCTGTTATGTTGATGCGATAAATGCTTAAAAAAGGTTTTAATCCAGTGTTTATTTCACCCAAAGTTGAAAGCAACCTTCAATCCATCAATGTGCAGGAAAATGTTTCTGAAACAGGCGGGGCTTCTTCCAGTCAGTTTGATCTATAGCTCTGGACTGATCCCCTGCTTTTTGCGTTCAGCCTGTTTTCCCAGTCAGCTGGCTGCGTTCAAAGCGCTCCACCCTCAGTGTGTCGGTTCAACAGGAGCCGTCACCTAAAAGTACGTCCCTCTGGTGGTGAAACCAGCAGAAAATGGAGAAATAAAAGCAAAGTTATGACCTGTAAGGAAATGATCAATAAGCTTTGAGGTGATTTCCTGTTAAATGCTGCTCCCAGTCCTTCCATCTGGTCTTTGGAGAATCTCCTGTTATGAGTGTGTGTCTCCCTGTAGGCACACAACCCCTGAGAAGTTCTTCATCGAGGCGTGTGATGAGGGCGCCGACGCCGTCCTGGTCATTGACCGGGTTTCCAACGAGATGACCCTCACAGGTATCACAGCAGCCTTTCACACACGCCGATATCGCAGGATTTTCTTCCCTCCTTTTTATGAGCAAACATCACTTTTTCTTTTTTTTTTTTCTAAATGGCAGAGATGGCAAAAGTACTCACTTTCCATACTTGAGTAAAAGTACAGATACTTGTGTTAAAAATACTCTGGTAAAAGTGGAAGTACTGATTAAGCTTCTTTACTCAAGTAAAAGTAACAAAGTACAGGCTTGTAAATTTACTTAAAGTATAAAAGTAAAAGTAGAAACCACTTTTTTCATGCCGTTGCCTGCATTTTAAATGGATGTCTGCCAAGAGGACTAGATCTCCGTTGTGTTCATTTTCAATCATCTCGTCGTCCATGCTACTATGCTAACGCCACCGCCACCAAGCTGCAATGATTTGCCGCCAATGAATACCGCCGGATCTGTCGATTCATCTTGTAGCGGTGCGTCAAATATAACTTAGATTCCCATCCAATTAGATTGAATTTGGTATTGATGACGTTATAAATAATAACGGTAACTCCATTGAAATGATTCAAAACTAAAGTAACGAGCCAATTTTTTTAAATGTAAGGAGTAGAAAGTACAGATATTTGTGTAAAAATGTAAGGAGTAGAAGTAAAAAGTCGCAATAAAAATAAGTAGTAAAGTAAAGTAAAAATATCAGAAAAATCTACTTGAGTACAGTAACGAAGTATTTGTACTTCGTTACTTCCCATCTCTGCTAAATGGACTTTTGAAAAAATTCCAATCCAGAAATTAAACTTTGGGGGAAAAAAGAAGCTTAAAGTAACTCTGCTGTTTTCTTACATTTAAGAGATTTTTTTTTTTCAAATAATTTCTTTTTCAGTTATTTCATTTTCAGATGTTTTTAGATATTCTTCTGAAAAAGATTTTATAGATTTTTCATTTTTTTTAAATTTCTCTTTTTCTGGAAAAATTATGCTTTGCGTATTTTAAGTTGCGTTTTACAGATCCCATTCCCCTGGTTTCTGGGGCAGGATTTCCTGTGGTGGGAGGAGGGAAGATGCATTTCTATCCGTCTGCTGGACGTTAGTTTTTTGCAGTTAAGCTGAAGGAAATGTCTTCTGTTAAAGCCAATTTGAAAAGAAGACAATTAAAATTTTAATTTTAAATCTGTAAAAACAAAAAGGGGAAAAATAAATGAAAGTAATTGAAAAATAAAATCTGAGAAAAAAGGGTTAAGTAATATTTGAAAAATGCAAAATATAAAGAGTAAAAGTAAACAGCAAAGTTACTCTAAACGCCGTTTTTGAAAGAAGTTTCGTGTCTGGGTAGCTTTTTTTTATTTCTATTTATAAAAAGTGTTTTTTTGCAACAATAATGGAATAAAATTCACTCCATACACTAACTGATGTGTCGCTGTCAGAAGGTGAAGCTCTGTGACTGATGATCTGTTTATTACTGCTGCCTTAAATCTGTGAACGACTGACGTTTATCTGACAGCGAACAACATGAACAGAGTGGTACGTTCTGCTTAAACATGTTCACCGATGTGTTGGTTTCATAGGTAGGCAGGATGTCCCTCCGTCTGCCGTCACCAGACCCATTTGTGGGATCATGGGAACTATTCGCCTGGTTGCAGGTAGGAGCCTGATGTTAACCATGCTTGGTGTTGTTCACAATGATGGGGTTTGGACTGACGATGTTCGCTGTGCAGGGATGTACCTGATCGTCATCACCAGGAAGAGGAATGTAGGCAACCTCCTGGGCCACTCTGTGTGGAAGGCTGTGGACTTTGATGTGATCTCCTATAAGAAGACGGTGCTCCATCTGTCAGAGATACAGGTTAGCAAGACTGTGTCTCGTTTATATCATCCTCCTATTTTCTACTCCAGATAATGACAGAAACGCTATTGTTGCCGTTGGATAAAGTCCTCCTGTGTTTTGGTTTCTGTGGATGTAGGAAATCACATGGAAACTGTTCAGACCCAAATGAATAACTAAGTTTATAAACCAAGTTTATTTATGCTTTAACATGTGGTACAATATAAAGAAATGGATATAGTTATATAGATAACAATGTACCTTTAACATATAAACATAATTGGGCTAGAACAGGGGTCGGGAACCGGCGGCTCCGGAGCCGCATGCGGCTCTTTAGCGTTCCCCTTGTGGCTCCCTGGAGCTTTTGCAAACATTTCTGAAAATCAAGTTTTTTTTTTTTCTTTTGTTTTAATATAATGTGCAGGAGGTCAAACAAAAAAATAATTATGTTTACCAATGCTGTAAACATTTGTTTAATAAATAAATTTAAACAATAATTTGCGTCATAGCCATAGAGATCAGTGGTCATAACTTTCAACCAGCGCTGCGCAGTGCCAGGCTGCTGGAGTGTCTCCATGGATCCCAAAGGGGAAAAAAGGAAGATAGCTGATGAGAAAAGAGGATTCAAAGGATGGACCCAATCATTTTCTTTCATTATCAACGATTGCCCCCATTTTTGCATGGTAATGAGAGGTTGGCAAAAAAATAAAAATTTGGAAAGGCAGTTCCAGGGAAGGCTAAATATGCAGCCAACAACCAAGCTGGGAGGGAGAGAAAAAGTGTGTTTGCAGAACTTCTGGATAAATTAGAGGAGAGCAAATGTAGACTTAAAGGAATAGTACACCCAAAACATGATTAGCCTTCATTTTCTACTCACCCCCATGCTGAACAACACTCTGGAGTACTTTTTTGATATCTCAAATGCATCTGGAGATCTGGGAGGCTTCTTGCTGTCTGCTGACATTCAAATAATGGAGGTCTATGGCGCCCGAGGCAGAAAGGTCCATAAAAGTCCACAAAAAACGTGTCAATATTCCTCCATACTGCTCGTCCAATGTATTCCAAGTGTCCTGAGTGAGTAGCGTCCAGAATTTACTCGAAACGAAGTCATTTAGAATGTTTTTAGAGCATAAACAGTAGTGTATAGATTTCCTGAAAGCGCGCTCCCGCGAGTTCACGAGCCTACGGAAGCCGGCAGACCAAACCAGATGAAAGTGCGCATTCAGCGTCTGCTCTGCCGATAATGCAAGCGTAGAAGAAGAAATGTGCTGTTTACCTGTGCAAAGAAAGAAACAACGAAAGAAAAATGTCTGAGGACTTCAGTGTTGAGGAAGAGCATGAGTTCTTTGCCGAGCTGAATGCGCACTTTCATCTGGTTTGGTCTGCCGCGGTTTCCGTAGCGCCGTGAACGCGCTTTCAGGAAATCCTATACACTACTGTTTATGCTCTAAAAACATTCTAAATTACTTCGTTTCGAGTAAATTCTGGATGCTACCCACTCAGGACACTTGGAATACATTGGACGAGCAGTATGGAGGAATATTGACACGTTTTTTGTGGACTTTTATGGACCTTTCTGCCTGGGGCGCCATAGACCTCCATTATTTGAATGTCAGCAGACAGCAAGAAGCCTCCCAGATCTCCAGATGCATTTGAGATATCAAAAAAGTACTCCAGAGTGTTGTTCAGCATGGGGGTGAGTAGAAAATGAAGGCTAATCATGTTTTGGGTGTACTATTCCTTTAAGAAGTGAATTACGTCTCCAAACTCCACTACTGCTGCTAGTTTTGTTGCAAGGATGGAAAACCGACCACAGATCAAACAGGTGGCGCTCTGATGCAGGGATGGGAACTTTCTTCCATTTTTTTCCCCAAATCCTAAAAATATAAAGCACACCAAGGAACGCTGGTGATGGAGGATGGGGGATTTCAGGGTTAGAGAGCTCTGCTCTGATGGGTGTCAGTTCCTGCTTGGCTCCTCATGACTCCATCAGCTCCTCCCAACAGAAACAGTTCCACCATAGAAAGATTCCTTTATCGTGTTTCTATAATTTCATCAATGCAACAAAACTTAAACCGCGCGGTGAAAGGCGGTTAAGCCGTGCGCGGTAAGCAACGTGCAATGGGAGCGTTCACTGCTCCTCCCTCACCTCAAGCTGCTATGTGACATTTGCTCGAGGATAAAGATTTAATCATGAATGCTTATTATATATTTAAGCCCACATAGTCATTTTCTATAGTGGGATAAAACACTTAGAGCCTGTGTTTCCATACGAGGCATGTATGAGACTTTGACATTTTTGCGGCTCTAGACAGATTAATTTTTTGTTTTTTTGGTCCAATATGGCTCTTTGAGCAGTTTGGGTTGCCGACCCCTGGGCTAGAACAAAAACCAATATAGCCATATATATATACTCCCATACAGAATACAAAAAAAATGTATAAATAATAATAATTGGGTAAGTAAATAGAAAAAAGGATCCCAAATGAATAACTTTAGCTTAGTTAGTTTAGCTGCTTTAGGAAGATCATCTGCGTTGATTTAGGGTTGGGGCAGCGTATTAGAGGAACGCTTGGAATAAATGTTTAACTCGTAAAAAGCAAAAATGAAACAACCAACAGCTAGCTGACTCTGCTATGCTAGCTTAGACATGTGACCAGGATTTCACTGAAAGCCGGATCTGGGGTTTTGCAGGGATACAATCTAAAAACACAATCTACTGTCGGCACAGCAGCTGCAGCAAGCACTAACGGTGCTGTCCTTTTCTTATAGCAAAGAGAAATGTTTTGGGAAAAAATCTCTTCTCTGGGAGTAATTGAGATAATTAACCGTTAAGTATTTAATTTCACTTAGTATTTTTGAATTGAGTTGAATGTCAGATCAGTGGTTAATAAGGCAACATATTTATGCTGTTTTTTATTTCAGATGGAAAGAATTAAATGCTAAAATTAAAAGATCAAGTAAAATAGTTTTTATTATATATTCACTTATTGTTTATTCCACATTTGGACATCAATACTGTTTACTGGGAGGGGTAGTCATGATAAAACAAAATGCCCAAAGCTGAACACAGCTCCAAAAAGGTTAGGAAACATTGCCCTATGCTGGGGAGAGGCCACGCCCCCAGTGCACAGGAGCCAATTAGAAAAGGAGGCATCCTTTGAAGGACTCCATCCACTGCTCCCTATACCCTGGGGGTGTATCTGCGTTCCACTAATGCTTCCTTTAGCCCAAGGCCCAAGCAATTAGTTTTGAATGCTAATAGTTGTTATGCTAACTGCTAAATGTTATTAAAGGGTAAACGATATATAAACATATAAAACTGATGTTAATCATTGAGGTATTTTCACATATTTCAGAGGTTTTTCTGTTGGATTGAAATAAATGTACTGATTTCTCTTTCTAGAACAAAACTGAACAGTAACCTTAAAACGGTTTGCTTTCCTGCTTCAGTCTCAGGAGAATAAGACCTTCCTGGCGATGATTAACAACGTGCTGACTACAGACGGCTTCTACTTCTGCACTGACTTCGATCTAACGCACACGCTGCAGCGCCTGGCAAACACCAGCCCTGACTTCCAAGAGATGAGTCTGCTGGAGAGGGTAAGAGGCCCGTTACGTCACAAAGCTGTGAGACGGTTCAGAAAAGTGTTGGAAGGTCACAAAGTTTTAGGGTTTACATTTCTTTTTTTAGAGGAGAAGGAGGCATCGGGGTTTCTTTCCTTTTCCCATAAAATCCCTAAAGGCAGCAACAATTTTAATTTTATGTGCGAGTTCTAAACCTTTTGGATCTCTTATTTATTTGTATTCAGTACATGTACAATTCAAAGTGCTTTACGTGAATTAGACAATAAAATGAAAGGAAAAAATCAAATCAAGACAAAAACATGTTAAAAACTGAGAGTAAAACAGTTTTACCGCAACATTAAACTAATGATAGTTTAGCTTTTACGGTCAAAAATGTAACTTTCAGGCTCAAAACATTTCTTGCCTTTCCTTCACAGACTTCCTTTCTTAACTATTTTCTCTTCTCTAAATTACATTTTTCCAACCGTTTATGCTTTTTATGCATACAGTGCAAATCGTGCATTGGCTTAAACATTTATGGAGGAGGTCAAACAGGAAGTGATGCTGCTTCCTCTCCTGTAGCGGCTAGAACGTCAAAGTTTACCCGTGTATTTGTTTAATGAGAAGATGTAGTATTCTCATTTATTTAAAGTTCTGGTTTACATGTGAGGTGAGGTTTTAAATAGTCTTTGATATATAAAATTTGTTTTTATTTGGTGAGAATGGTTTAAAAAGTTGCAGATTCTCCTGTCTTATCTGGTTTCCTGTGGATTCCAGGCAGATCAGAGGTTCGTCTGGAACGGTAACCTTTTGAGGGAGCTGGCCGGCCAGCCTGAGGTAACAGCTGTCATATGGCTTCTCTGTAACCCGTTATGCTCGCACTGACTAACTCATGCTGTCTCTCTGCAGCTGCACAGGTTTGCACTGCCTGTTATCCATGGATGTATCCTTTGCCCAAAATGTTGTTGAAAGACATGTGATCAAACGGTGGTTCGGGTTTTTCTTTGACGCTCCTGCTCCAGTCATCGTCATGAAGCCGTGCCGCATAAATGGGAAGATCTTTGAGTGGATCCTCATCTCCAGGAGAAGCTGCTTCCGCGCTGGCGTCAGATATTATGTCAGAGGTAAACATTTCATCCCTGCAGACCGTCAGCAGTGAAAAGACTCCCTTTCCTGCAGTTGATTGTTCTTCCTTTGACAGCAGAGAAATGTTTGTCTTGACAGGCATCGACTCTGAAGGCCATGCTGCTAACTTTGTGGAGACTGAGCAGATAGTTTTGTATGAAGGCGCCAAGGCTTCATTTGTGCAGGTTGGTTTGGTCAAGGATAAAGTGTCTGACTGTCGAAGGGTTTTCTCTGGGAAGGTAGAGAAGAACTGCAGTGTTTGCTTTCATCCACAGACACGAGGTTCTATGCCGTTCTACTGGAGCCAGAGACCCAACCTGAAGTACAAACCCAAACCAGTGATCAGCAAAACCATGAACCACGTAAGAGACGCCCATTTTCCCTGGGATTAAGTGGAAGAAGTGAGAATCTGATGGTGTTTTTCTTGCCGTTTACAGATGGATGGTTTCCAGAGACACTTTGACTCACAGCTGCTCATCTATGGAAAGCAAACTGTGTTGAACCTGGTGAGGAGCTTTTTTAATGAAACGCAGCCCGGCTGAACACACACAAGGCTCATTTAGATGCTGTTGTTCCAGGTGAATCAAAAAGGCTCAGAGAAGCCACTAGAAGAGGAGTTTGCCAAGATGTCATCCGGTCTAAACAACGGTTTGCTTAAGTAAGTGTCCTCTGTTGATTCTGAAGATCCTGATTGGATTTCTGATATCAGATTCTGATGTTATTCAGCTCACAGGTCCTTGATCTGTGTGACGAGAACATCCTCTAACAATTATTTACATTAAAATCAACTCACTGAAATTAAATCAAATATATCGTCTTACAGGCATCAGACATTTAAGCCCAAAGCATTTTTTTTTCACATTAAAAACAATAAAAGCTCACCGTTACTTTAAGTGTTCTATTTTTCTCAGAACTTGAATTTAAGTGGCTAAAGTGGCCTTTTCTCCATTAAAATATTTTCTGCCTGTGCACCTAGCGTTCTCCATGGCCATTATGGCCACTGTTAAAACCATTAAACCGCTGTTGTACTCTGTGCACAGCATTAAAACATTTTGGCTTTTCAGGTAGTACCTGAACAGCTGACTTTCATTTCATTTAGGGCTGCAACTAAAAATCGATGAATCGGCCGATTATTTTTTCGATTAATCGATGAATCGGACAAAAAATATTTTTTATATTAACCTCTTTATTCCAAAATAAACATTTTAGACAGAACAAACAAGCACACAAGTACAGGTTGCTCATTAACTGTACTGGTGCAATATGAAAAATAAATGTTTGTGTTAAAACTACGCAAACTTACATGAGAAATGTAGCTGTACATCCACTAAATATAGGCTACTTTGTTTCATAAAGCGCAAAAAAAGACATTTTTGTTTTTAAAAGCCCCTAAGGGGTTCAAACAATAGGCCCCCCCATTTCAACAAATGAGGTTTTTTTAGACTAGAGAGTTCTGGATTTTTCAGACAGGAAAGTATAGCAGTTAAAGTTGCTGCTTGAGAAAATACTGAACCATAGAGATAAAAATAGCCCTGTGATTCAAATTATAAATTGTATTTGGAATAAAAATGAGAGAACTAGGGGTGCTAAAAAACACATCCTCCAAAGACAGATATTTACATGGGAATGTGGCATATACTTAATTGACATATTACTGATCTTGCTGGATTTTATTCTGCTTTACTTCCATAAATTGCAGGATCTTCTTTACTTTATCTTTGCCAGAAGATTTAAACTTTAAAAGCCTTGCCCTCATAATTTGCAAGTTAATTTATTTATAAAGTAAATCTAAACGCTGCTTAAGCTAATTCAAATGAAATTAAAAGTAAAATAAGTAGCCAACCTTATCACTGTCTGTAACCTACTAACACGGTAAGGAAAGCATCAGATGAGCTACCTGAGAAACTAACGTAAAGTTTCCCCACTTTAAAACCAAACAAACATGGCCGCTCATCCTGCTGATCAGCTCTCTTCACTGCCATCGAAGGCTCCAACGTGTTTCCTTTTCAGGTGCTGCATCATAACAGTGGTGCTTCCGCGCCATGTTCATTTGTTTTTAAATAGTTGCATGTTACGACTTTTTTCGCTTTACAAGGAGCAGGCTGTCTGCGAATTGAGACGCAGCTTGCGTTTGCAGTATTGGTCGTTAGAAGAGTAGAACAGCCTTTGCTCACCTGCGGCGCTGGCTTGCTCTGCCATATTTTTTTTTCTTCCCGCGTTTCAGTCAAGTGGATGTGATGACGACGGTGGCGGATGACGCATTAATCGCGCGACACAACTAATCGATGATCAAATTCGTTGCCAACGCTTTTAAAAGTTGATTTTTATCGATTTTATCGATTCGTTGTTGCAGCCCTAATTTCATTTCATTTATTGTTTATTTGAAAGGGGACAGTGTACATTCATCAACATTAAAACAATGTAAATATACCCGAGTTAGCTAAGGAGTGCTAATTTTCATCAGTAGTCCCCCAGCCAGGTATAAAAAAGGCAACCTTAAAAATAAACACAAGTATAAAATCACAAGATAAAATTACAATACCAATTACATAAAAAACATTATGGTTAAGAAATACAATTCATGTAAAATAATTATAAATTATTTAAATACACACAAATTTGGCTCTACAAGCCATTTTTTTTGCATTCTTTTTGAATGAAGAGAATGACAGAGAGTCTCTGATGGTTTCTGGCGCTGTGATCCATTGCTGAGATGCTCTTACGGAGAAGACAGCCTGACCAAACTTCATGCGTTTCTGCAACATTTAAATTCCTTTTGGAATTAAGTATTTTTTCATTTTGTTAATGCGACAAGCATGATGAAGAACTAAAAACAGTCAAAGTAAGAAAGTTTAGCCGCTGCTGAGGCAAGAAGCATCCATAGACTGTTACCTTGTGAATTTGATGGAAAATGATGGCAAAGAGGAACGGTTCTATTTTGCATCGATGTCACGTTATTTACCTCTACAGGGGAATAAAACAAAAAAATAATTTGATCCAAATCTGTCCTTATAGTTTCCTGATGGGCCTTTTGGAGCCAAGTTTTTTTGCATTTTTTTTCCCACACTTTGTCTCTGACATTTATATCTTCATTATTTTCAGAACTTCTCTGGAAGATGTTAACTACACTGCAAAAAACATCTAGAAATAAGTAAAAAATGTCTTAAATTAAGTGTATTTACCCTTAATTTGAGCAGGTAAATAAGATGATCTGCCAATGGAATGAGTATTTTTACTCCTAAAATAAGATAATTAGATAATAAGACAAAGCTATTGTTTTTTTCTTATTTTAAATGTAAATTGTCTTGTTCCATTGGCAAACTGTCTCACTTACCTCCTCAATCCAAGAACAAATACACTTAATTTGAGCAAAAATGACTTATTTAGATTTCCATTTTTTTGCAGTGTAGCTTAGCTGCCTTGTTTACCCCTGCATACATGTGCAGCTTCATACCTACATTGTTATTGTAGATGTACACAGACAGGTTGTATTTACCAACAGATTGCAAAGCAAAGCCTAAAAGATAAAAATAACCAATAATGCCAAGCTCTGGGCAGTAATCTTTCAGAATAACTTTATATGCAACCAAAGAGAGCTGCTGGTGTATAGATGTTACTTTGCCCTTTAATCGTTTCCTGGATGTTGGTCTCACCCTCTTGTGCACATCTTCCTCAGCTACTTGGCCTTTGACTTTCACAAAGAGTGCAGTCACATGAGATGGGAGCGCCTTCAGATCTTGGTGGACGCCGTCGCTGAGGCCCAAGAGGAATACGGGTAAGTGAACCAGGAGCTGCTGGTAGCTTAGCTCAAGCTACGTGCTGTAAAGAGGCGTTGAGACGTTTCCCTGTGTCCAGCTACTTCATGGTGAACACGGATGGAAAGATTTTGACCCAGCAGAAAGGAGTTTTCAGGAGTAATTGTATGGACTGCCTGGACAGGACCAACGTCATCCAGAGCCTGCTGGCCAGACGCTCGCTTCAGTCTCAGCTTCTGGTATGTTCTCCTCCTTTAGGGATGAAGAAACTCCTCAGTGGTCTGTCGGTATTCTTTATGCCTTAATTAACATTTCACTGCATCAGTAACCAGCAGCAGCGCTTCAGTATAATATTTAGGCCCCGTCCACACGAAGTCAAAACGAACACGAAACGCTAATATGTTCCAGAAAGTTTGTCTTAAAGACGGAGACGTAAAATAAATGTGATCGTCCACACGAATGCATGAAAACGCTGCAAAATGTATGCCAGGCCTGTAAGTGGCGCTGTGGTGCCAAAGCAAAAATAGCCGACGAAATGTTGGGCATGCTCACTAATATTTATACATGGCATGCGTGTTTAGAGGCTACGCTTGACGCATGCGTGTAAAAAAAAAAAAAAAAAATGCGGTTAGAGCTTAAAGATGGAAACGCGAAAACGGCGTTTCAAAATCTTCCCACTCTGAAGGCTTAATAAAAAAAAGATCGTTTACAGACCCCCGAAACGCCGGCTTCGTATGGATGAGAGGCTGGTTTGGTGAAAAATTTGTGCGTTTTGGCCAGGGTTTGGCTTCGTGTGGACCCTCCGGGTGTGACGCGTTAAAAACCTTAAAAGAAAAATCCTCCAAATAAAGCAACACTACAAAGATGAATAAACAAAGAATTTGGAAATGAGAGGAAGTATTGCTGCCCAAATAAATTTTACAGTTTCATCCGAACAAAAACTGATCTAAAAACCCTCTGATCAGGTTAATTTTTTACTCGTTACATTTTACAGATGGGAAACAATTACCCCATTTACACTACCCTTGAGCAACCGTGCCGAGACCGGTCCAAGCTCACTAACTGAGATAACTTATCGTGTGTAAATGGAAAGCAAACTGAACCGAACCGAGCTAGACACAACCCAACCGAACTAACTGCAGACCAGTTCCAGAGGTGGGCTCGGCTCGGTTTTTCCCTGGCTCGGTTCTCTGATAACAAGAGCGCATGAGCAGAACGCGTTACCTCCGTCTGGCTGCACATCCCGATTCACACTCCATTCCAGTAGTTGGCGGTAATGCCCCTCTGGAAGTTGCTCGCCAACCAACACAAAACAGAAGAAGAACAACAACTATAAACATCCACGAAAGGTTGCCGTCTTCGCCTGACCCTTCACAAACACCGAATTACAGCAATAATAATGAAGCATAACTTTCTGAATGTGACGGGCGCCGCCATTTTGATTTGCTTGATTCCCTCCTTCTTCGTCTTCTTCTTCTTGTGTTTTATGGCTGTTGGCAAACAACTTTTGGTGCATTACCGCCACCAACTGCTTGATTTCCTCCTTCAATACTGGCAGTAATACCGCAGATCGTCACTAGGAGGCGAGGAGGCGAGGAACCAAATAGCATGATGTGTAAACGGTTGTCAGAACCGAGCTTGGCCTGGTTAACTGATCCGAGCTCGGACCGGTCTCGGCATGGATCGGTTTTTCAAGGGTAGTGGAAATGGGGTATTATCGTGTGTAAATGGAAAGCAAACTGAACTGAACCCAGCTAGACACAACCGAACCGAGCTAACTACAGACCAGTTCCAGAGGTGGGCTCGGCTCGTTTTTTCCCTGGCTCGGTTCTCTGATAACAAGAGCGCATGAGCAGAACGCGTCATCTCCATCTGGCTGCACATCGCGATTCACACTCCATTCCAGTAGATGGCGGTAATGCCCCTCCAGAAGTTGCTCGCCAACCAACACAAAACAGAAGAACTATAAACATCCACGAAAGGTTGCTGTATTCGCCTGACCCTCCGCAAACACCGAAGTACAGCAATAATAATCAAGCATAACTTTCTGAATGTGACGCCATTTTGATTTGCTTGATTCCCTCCTCCTTCGTCTTCTTCTTCTTGTGTTTTATGGCGGTTGGCAAACAACTTTTGGCGCTTTACCACCACCAACTGCTGGATTTCCTCCTTCAATACTGGCAGTAATACCGCAGATCGTCACTAGGAGGCGAGGAGACGAGATGGCGTGATGCGTAAACGTTCGCCAGTTCGGCCTGGTTAACACATCCGAGCTCGGACCGGTCTCGGCATGGATCGGTTGTGTAAATGGGGTAATAGTTCCTCCCTACGGCCTTAGCGGGGGTGTCGGCACAGACCTGTCTTCTCTTGTTTCCACAGAGGATGGGAGTCCTGAATGTGGGTCAGCGCATCGAAGAGCAGGCCGAGTTTGAAAAAGTCTACAAAAACGGTGAGCCTCGTGCCGCATGCTCCATCGTCGTGTGATTGGTCGTACCTTTTCCACTGGAGTGTGTGGTCATGGTTTTGTTTGCTCTCTAACAGCATGGGCTGACAATGCTAATGCATGCGCTGTGCAGTATGCAGGAACCGGAGCCTTAAAAACAGACTTTACCAGGTAAAGCAGTTCCACGGCCCCTCCGTCAGCTTATGGTATCGTTCTGTTGGTGAAAATGATTTTATGTTTTTATTGATCAGGACGGGGAAGAGGACCAGGTGGGGGCTGCTGATGGACGGCTGGAACTCCATGATCCGCTACTACAAGAATAACTTCTCAGATGGATTCAGACAGGTAGCGCTGGGACGCTATTCATTAGCAGGATTAGCATCTGCTTCTTCTGCTGCTGCTATTTTAAGGCTTTCTTTGCTACACTGCAGAAACAATACCAGTAAAACCTGCCGCTTGTCTGTTGGGGTCAGAGGGGGGTGCTGATCGGCAGCAGTCTATAGGCAGAAGGCAGGGTTCACCCTGCCCAGGTCACTCTCCATCATTCCCCATAAGTTCTTAAGTCAACATAACGCTGCCATCTAGCCTTTGTTTGTTTGTAAGAAGATTTATGCCTTATTAAATACTTCTGTTCTTCCAGATATGATAGTTTTCTAGTGAAAGAGCTATAAAATAACCCCCCCCCCATGACCTGAAGGTGGCGCACTCGCTCTCCTTCTTTCCTGTTTGCAAGCTGACAGGTCTGCTAATGCTAACTGCTACTCCTTTGCGCAACCAGATATATTTCCAGGTCGCCCTTGATTTTAATTTGTAAAAAATACCTTAATTCTGTTTTTTCATACCTAAAAATAGTAAACGTTCTAAACCATAATGTGTTAAAGAATAATAATGTTTTTCCTGAGAAAATGGATGCATTTAAGTCCTTTCTGTTTTATCACTCAATCTGTGGTGGAAATGGGATCCTACGCTAATTAACACCAGGACTCCCAGAATTCTGATCCTGCTAGGACTCCCACTGGCCGTCGATTTGACGGCTGACATTTTTCTTCTTAGTTATGACAAATATCATACAAGCTTTTTTTTTCTATCACTGATGCACCTGGCACTATTTTCTTCACCTCGCCAAAGCCGGCTCTGAAGCGCATGTGGTTTGCACGCAACTGTTTCACCATTTTAGGATAAAATTTCTGCGTGAGACGGTGACGTCCAAACAGTTCCTGAACAAAACCAACATGTTTATAGATGCTATGCTATAGATTGTAAAAGACAGCCTCGGGCCACCTTAGAGCTTTTACAGAGCACGTTCTAATCATCCGATCAAGCACATCCACGCCAACCTTTGTGTAATCACACACAGGCTGTGGTTTGGCTTTTGGGCCGCTGAGTGAACCAGCTGGGGTGTGGGCCTCGCTACCCAAGCTTTGAACAAAGGTTTAACTCCTGTCTGACAGGTCCCTTGGGTTGGCGATCATCCTCGGACTCGCTGTCAGAATCTCAGCCCCGTCCTACCCAGTCCTCCTCATCGGTCTCTCCATCCCTGCCCCAATCGCTGTCATCGATATTTTGAAGCATTTCTAAAGCCTGTTAGATTTTTTTCTGAAATAATTTTTCCGCATTGGCCAAAGAGCTCTAGGTAGAATATTGGTTGCTATAGGCAACGGTATGGCCAATCAACTGCAGGGAGAATTTACAATGCAACTCATATAGCCGTCAAAACGCGGGCTGTGGGAGATTGAGATAAAATTAACCATGTTTTATTTTATGTTATTAAAAAGCTACGTGTTACAGAAGGAAATATAGAAATAGGGAAAGTCAGCATGAGCAACATATGATTAATGTAAATAAAGTTCTTTGCATTTAAAATCTCAGAACCGTCGAAATGTCCGAGTGTTAAGGGACTAAGCCCAGGATCCCATTTCCAGCACAGATCTAGTGATAAAACAGGATTTTAAGGCATTTATTTTCTCATAAAATACATGATTAATCTTTGAAACATTTTAGTTTACTACTTTTAGGAAGGGAAAAATGTAATTTAGGTCATTTTTAAAAAGTAAAATTGGGAGCAACCCGGATGTATATCCGGTTGTGCAAAGGAGCTGATGGTAGCGATCCGGTGGTTACAGGTTGTGAGCAAAGCCTCCTGTTGAAGCAGAGCTAAAAGCCGATTACCCAGAACCTCGCGCTCTGCGCTCCTGCAAACAAGGAAATTCTTCTTCCAGATTAACTCTCCGACCAGCGGCACCTCTTTGCGCTGATTCTAAAGTGTGATTTTTGGCAGGCAGTTAGATCGCATCAAAGCGTCGGGTCTGACAGTGGAAGATAGGGATGGAACGGTTTTTCAAAACCGTCCGAACCGTTCGGTTCTACTGTCTCGGTTCAGTTCGCGTGTGTTTCGTTCGGTTCATGCGCAGCTCCGTTTTCTCATAGGCGAAGCGTTTACACTCCAGAGCAGAAGGTGGCGGTACTGCGACCATAGCCAACCACCAGTAGTAAACAAGAAGAAGAAGAAGCGAAGCAGCAGGGAAAAAAATCAGTTGTTGTGGAGAATTGTGTCGGAATGGCGAGTGGGAAAGAACAGGAGTTGGAAGACGCACCAGCAGCACTTTATAGGTCTGCTGTATGGGACCACTTTGCATTTAGAGTGACCTACGATGACGGCGGAAAGAAAGCTGTGGATAAAAGTGCAACAGTGTGCAAGCATTGTGCAACATGTTTTGTTTATGCTAACAGCAACATGACCAACATGTCATGCTAACCCCGAAATCCCACATACTCCGTCAGCGCTGCGCTCCAGACCGCCTGCACAAAGCAAAGCCTACAGCCTCCACTGTGGCTCCCGTCCGCTCCCCTCTGAGTTCCTTGGAGATCGTAAAGATGGTAGACAGCATGCGCCAGATGATTAAATTCAAAGCAGCAAAACATACGGAAATGATCCAGGGTTTCCACGGATCATTAAAAATAATTCATTAATTTTTTTGGGATTTTTTCATTAATTTCATTAATTTTTATGGGATTTTATGGGAACATATACTGAACCGAACCGAAAACCGTGACCACGAAACCGTGCACCGAACCGTGGATTTTGTGAACCGTTCCACCCCTAGTGTAAGACTGTCATGAGCTGTTAACTTTATACCCTGCAGTTTTTCGTCGTACAGTTTGAGCTGTAGCTGAGGACAATGATGCTCAGCTTTAGATCTCACGGATCAGATAAGTCAATTTAAAACTTTTTGTGCTTCTTTTAAAATTCCCAGCAAGTAAAGACCAATGCTAATAGTTTGCAGATGCTCTAATGAGGCTCTAATTTTTTACGGTATTTCCACTTTTGTTTTTGTAATTTTAGGTCTTTTTTTTTTTTTTTTATGCACAAAAGAGCCCTTTTTTTTTTTTGGATTATATTTAGTATCAGTTTTTGCTTTGTTTCCTGTTTGGTTGCTGGGATCTTGTTAAAAATACTGACACCCAAAGACCACGTGGGAGAAAAAGCTTGAAATGGTTAAAATTAAATTAAATTTGAAACCAAAAGTTTGAAAAAGTATATCAGTGCAATTTTATGCACTCTATTGTTTTTGAAGGTAATATATTTGATTTTCTTCATAACACCCAGCCTTATCTTCATCCTGTCCAACCTGTCTGAAATATCCCAGCATGCCTTGTTTTGCGTCTCCTCTTCTTCCTCACCAACTTTCCTTCCAGATTAAATACCAGGAACCCACCTCCCTCCTACTCCTCTGGAGCAGCCTCTTCCTCCTCCTCTCCGCCTTTCTTCATCTTCCTCACCCTCGGCCCATCAGCTCATTGTTATGTCTCTGCAAAAATCAAATGTATCCACCAACCTAGACTTCCAGAAGATGGTTCAGCTCTCCCGCTTCCTACCAACCGACTGGTTCCATTCGGCTCATCTGATTGGTTCCTGGTGCTTGGTCCAGAGGGGGCTTCTGTTTTTGTGGTGGAGAAGAAACATGCAGTTATTTTACCGATGAAACTCTATCATTATATCAGCACCACTGATTGTAGATGAAATGTTTTGTGCCTCTGAGTCGAGACGTTATAGCCTCAGCTGCTTTTCCTTTCCTCAGGATGCCATTGACCTTTTCCTGGGGAACTTTTCTGTTGACGAGTCCGATGGGCCCACTCCTCTCCGTGTGAAGAAGGACTGGAAGTTCCTAACGGTGAGTATTTTTCTCAGTAATAGCCGTGAACATTAGTGATCTGACTCTGACTTTCTTTTGCGTTTTGTTTTCCAAGCTTCCCATCGTCATGCTGGTTGCGTTTTCCATGTGCATCGTTTCGCTCCTTCTGGCCGGTAAGTGACCTTTCAGAGCGACGCCGCTGGGTTTGGCGTCATGAGGAAGGTGGTTGTTGATGTTTGGTGTTCTGACTGTTGGTCTGAATGTTTTTTACCTGCTGCTGTCAGAACCGACTGTTAAATAAAAAACAGGCAGCAAAATGCAGCAGTAAACAGGTACAGCCCGAACAATTAGGATATCTCATAAAAGTGAGTCAATGTTTCACCACTCATCCCAGAAATTGTCCTTCATAAAGGATTTTATTTGTAATTTTAACGATTATGGATCACCCATAATGAATGAATTAATTAATGAAAAACCCAAATTTAATGTCTTAAAAAATCTTAAATTCTTTGAAAGTGTTCATCAGTGGAAACTCATGGTGTCGCAGCTTCATCAGCTAATTAAAGGAAAAGTTCGGTCAGCAAAGAATAATCAATGGATCATTATTTATACCTAAAACTAAAACGTTTGCGGAGATTTAATAGATTTAGCCTTAATCAGTAAAAAAAAAAATAAGAAAAAAAGCTTTTGTAGCAATCACTGAGTCTGGGAGCGGCCATTTTTGCCCAAATACAGTAACCCCTCCCTCCTGCCATCTTCCAGCAGTGACGTCACGGTGCGGTAAGCCTAGCGCCATTCTCCCCGCTTTCCAAGCTAAATCAATGGGAACTACTAGACACATCTGCAATCAACAACAATTATTGAAGATTTCCAGAGGACTTCACCATTGAAATTCACCAGAGCTATAGTGAAACTGACAATGCCCACGTGCATGGCAGCTGGATGCTGGAATACATCGGGTAAAAGTGAAAAAAAAGAGTTATTCCACCTTTCTGATTCCTGATCCTCCACGGACGGGTTGGTCGTTGGATCGCCAACTTGAAGAGGGAGGATTTGCCATCGAACTTCTGGCCAGAGAAAAAACCCGTAATATGTAGCCGACATTTGGAAGAAGAATGTTTTCAAGATGACTTGGATAATAGCGCGTTGTGACAAACACCAGATACAGCACTGGGACTTGATCAACAGCCGATACCGCACCGTGACGTCACTAACCAGTAGGTGGCAGTAGTGTTCTATGACAAACATGGATGCCTCCAGTAAAGCACATTCACATGAAAATGGCTCTGAATTAAAAACACTGGTCATTTATTGAACAGGATGGAATCATTTCATATTTAAAGTACTTTCTGTAGTTTGTATTCTGAATATGAGCGACTTCCAGCCTGAAACAGCCGTTTATCTGACATGATGAGATAAAGTAGAGGCACATGTTCTATTAAAGGACACAAAGTGTCTAAAGCTGGTAATAAATCTTAGGGATGTTATGATATCAGAGAAGTGTGCCCTTGGTGAATAAAATCATGAAATCAAATGCTTCACTTATGCAGCTGCCACTACTCTGCACAAACATGTTAATCTAAATTATTTTGTCTTAAAATTAGTGCAATTTTTCTTATATTGAGCAGCTCACTGAGACTCTGCCAATGGAATAAAGCAAATTACATTTATAATAAGAAAAAAAACAGCAGTCTTTTATTTATCTCTTTATATATTTAAGTAAATAATATGTGATCATCTTATTTTAAGGGTAAAAAGCTCATTCCATTGGCAGATAATCTCATTTCCTACTCAAATTAAGGGTAGATACACTTATTTTATAGAAATTTTTACTCATTTTCAAAACATTTTTGCAGTGTATTCTTTTTAAAGATGCCCAATAAAAAAAAAATTTGAAATGCGTGGAATGAAATCTGCTCAGGATGAGTCTGCAGTCTACTTCCAGACAGATTACATATATGGGCTGGTGTTCTGCCAGCTCGGGTTATCCATAGTCAATACCTGTTTATCCCTTTAGTTTAACCCTTTAGTAGTAAGTCTATTTTTTAAACAAATCTAAAGAGATAAACACAAATCTGACGTCTTGCTCATGCGTATTGACTATGGGTACGCTGCTCTGACGTGGTATGCTGATCTGGCAGAACACCATTAATGTTTCATTTCTAAACCAGAGATGTACTGAGGTGTACCTGTAAGAACCAGAGCTCTGTGGTGCTTTTAAGGCACATTTGCTTCTTTTCTGCACTTTTTACCCGGTTTGTTGAAAACATTTTGCATTTGTGCAGAGAGCAGAGTAACATTTCATTTTCATGTTCTTATTGAGTATTTTTCTCAGATTCTTGGTCATTAGGAAGGGCGTTCAATAAGCAATGCCCCTGACCCTCTTCCAGTTGGTTGATCTAGCTGAAATTTAGCATGTGCAATTAATAATATCTCTAGAGATTAATTGGCAAATTGCAGCCCTGAACTAAATGTGGTTTTTCATTTACAGGTGTTTGAACTGAATCAGGTCTCAAATGGAGCCTGTTGAGTGTCGAGCCGCTTTCTGTATTTGAAAGGACGCATGCCTACGGAAGAGGATTTAGGGCCACTGGGAAAAAACAGTTACCTGATTTTTAAATTTTATTTCAGTTTAGTATGGGAAAAAATCTTTAATCTCAGAATTCTGACTTTAATCTCAGAATTCTGACTTTAATCTCAGATTTCCGACTTTTTTCCTCAGAAATCTGACTTTTTTTTTCTCAGAATTCTGACAATAAAAAAAGTGTTGTCAGAATTCTGACTTTTTTTATTGTCAGAATTCTGAGATTAAAGTCAGAATTCCGACTTTTTTTCTTAGAATTCTGACTTTAATCTCAGAATTCTGCCTTTAATCTCAGATTTCCGACTTTTTTCCTCAGAATTCTGACTTTTTTTCTTAGAATCCTTAGAATTCTGACTTAATCTTTTTTCATTGTCAGAATTCTGAGATTAAAGTCAGAATTCTGACTTTAATCTCAGAATTCTGCCTTAAATCTTAGAATTCTGGCAATAAAAAAAGTCAGAATTCTGAGAAAAAGTCGGAATTCTGACTTTTTTCCCATACTAAACTGAAATAAAATTTAAAAATCAGTTAACTTTTTTTTTTTCAGTGGCCCTAATCCATTTCCGTACATATCATGGGAGACTTTTGATGAAATGAAAGTAACTCATGATGATGATGTTTCATTCTATGACCTTATAAGGCTATACAACAACCGGATCACTGCTCCACACTCAACAGGCTGTTATTGAATCCCCTGGTAAATGTGGGGTTGGATGTCTTCCCTCTGCACTGTGTCACTCTGCAGAGTGATCTCTTTAATCATCCAGGGGTGAATGTGTTTGTCTTATAGGTGACACGTGGACAGAGACCCTGGCTTATTTCATGTTCTGGGGCAGCGCCAGTGCAATCACAGCAACCATCATCCTGTTTAACAGCCAGGACTTTGTGGACGCCCCAAAGTTGGTTCACAAGGAGAAGATGGACTGAGTGCGTGGAGCCGCTGTGTGACAGCCGCTCCTCTACCGTAGCTTCAGATCTGATCCAACTGCGTGGCGATTTCCGGACTTTTGTTTTTCTAATGTTTGTCTGCAGCAAAGTCAACCTTCAGATGTTTGTCTATAACCTTGTATTGATCTGTATGTTCACGCAGCTGTATCAGTCAGTCTGTATTACGGTTTCACAAGAAGGTTTTCATCGTCTCTGTTGACCAAAAAATACTTCTTACTGTCCGTTTCCATTGGAGTTGTCTTTGTGTTGTTGGTTTGCTGCATACCTTCAAATGCCCTAAAGAATTACCCCCCCCTCCAAAAAAAAAAAAAAAAAGACAATGGACTCAATCCTGAAGACGTTTAAATGTATATGTTTCATTTAGAAAACACTATATAAAGTATAATGTATGCACACAGAGAGTTTTCAATGCAGCAGAGTTTACAAAGTTGTGAGGAATATAAGTATGTGGCTTCACTGCAATGAGTAAAACATGTCTTCCTATCAAGTATCATTTAGAAAACCTGTGATATTTTGGTCAAAGGCCTCCAGACCGTCTTCATTTGTATACCATAACCTGCATAAAGCTTATATTGTTTAAAATTTTTAAACTTCACAGTTTTGTGAGTTTAGGAATGAATCTCTCTTCCTGCTTTTCTTGAGAACATGTGAGGAAATAAAAATCTTGGGAGTAAAGTACATGTGTGAAAGAGGCCCGGTGCCTTTCTAAGCAGCATTTCTCTGAAGGCTTTTTAAAAACGGAATTTGGAGGTTTTGACAAAATGGATGAAAGTAAAAAAAAAATAGTTTGCTGCTTGATCTTTATGATCTGGTTATAAAATAAACGGCATTGGATCAAAGTCTTTGAAATGATTAAATTCAACATATTTAAATAACACCAAATCACAGAATGTCATCTCAAGGCTGTTTCCAGAACCAATTCAACCAGATCATCCAGTCAGATTGATTCAAAGTTTTCTATCTAAGGAAAACCAGTTGATTGCATCGACTCATTGACTCTTCAGCAATCCCTTACACTAAGCATGCTTGTAGCGACAGTGGAGAGGAAAAACTCCCTTTTAACAGGAAGAAACCTCCAGCAGAACCAGACTCAGTGTGAGCGGCCATCTGCTGAGGCCCACTGGGGTTCAAGGAGACAGAAGCAGACATAGAAAAAGAAGCATAGATACAAAAGGCAACTGTCAACCAGCTCCACAGGCGGCCCCGTCCAGGAAACACACAGCCAGGAAGACGAGCTCCGAGCCAGCTCCCATGTCAGAGGATGAAGAGAGCACATCCAGCCAGTCACAGTCAGAGAAACAGGACTACACTGGAAAACAGGCCAAGCTCCAACATCTAGAAACAAAGGTGTTGATGGCAGCAGCACAGCTGATATTTCTCTCCAGGATGGAGTCACAGCCAAAGCACAGCCTTAAAAGTAGACAGGGTGTCTGCCTCACGGACTAAAACTGGTAGTTGGTTCCACAGGAGAGGAGCCTGATAACTAAAAGATCTTTTGTATGTTGATTTATATCTTAGGACCGATGCCCTGGCCTCCATGCCAGCTGCTCTAACTGCTCTGTGGCACCTAATGCTTGACAGAAAAATAAAGAACAGAAATTTGACAACAGTGGCTGTTTCAGGACATTTTCACAGGGGTGGCCAGGCAGGAACTAGTGTTCACTGTGGGGTAACCCAAAACTAAGAGGCACCAAAACCAGTTCAGGGTCAACTTAAACTGATCACAATAAACCTACATCTATGTTTTCCAAATAAATTACTGGAGATAGAGCAGATTTTCATGAGGATCCTTGCTAATCAAACTGCTTAAATGAATCTGTGGTTCTCAATAAAAACATTAAATCCTACTAATGGTTAATCGGGAACCTTGAAGCCAAAACTGTATTGATGCTGCGTTGATGCTGTCACAGAATACTGCCACCTGCTGGACATTTAAAGACACTACAGGAAGTTTATTAGACAAACTGAACTGAATTTATTTGATGACCTAGAACAATATCATTGAAATTATTTTAGGTTATATTTTATTACTTCATATCCATGTTTAAATTGAAAATATCTTTGATATTTTTAGATGCAGCCAATAAATAACCTAAACACCACAACGTGAAAATGTAGGGGATGTTTGTGGACTAGGATTTTAAATCATAATTTTAAAACAATAAGAGTCAATTTGAAATTAATTTTAATTCAGATAAGTCAAGTGATAACAGAGGAAAATGATGACACAACAAGAAAATTACAATAAAAACTAAACGACTGAAACCTTCCTTTTCCTTTTAGGCTCCAACGTTCTTAATCATTTTAATGATAAATTACAAAAGATGTGAATTTTTTTAGCAGATGCATCATGTTGACAGAAACGTTTTTAAACAGAGTTTAATCAGAAACAGCTCCTGTATCGGTCACATGACTTTCTGGAAAGTACACCGCTGCTCTATGGGCTCCACGCGCGCACCCACCCATGTACAGCAGGGGGCGCTATGCACCCTAAAGGGGCTTGCGATCCGCCATAATAGTAAAGAAGAAGAAGAATAGGTCTGATTTTGCTGGTAGCTGGATGCTAACCAGCGTGTTTATTTTCCAGCTCCAGCCAACCTTCCTGTTTCAGTGTTTTTGTTCTGAGGAATATTATCCCTGCTGCTGAATGATGAGCACATTATGGATGGGCAACGTAAGTTTAACCCCGTTTGTCTGCGGATAAACAACATTAGCAGTTAGCGCAGCTCGCGCTCCTGGCGCAGAATGGAAACAATCCTGCCTGAGCTGATGTTATAGTTTTATTATAGATATTCTGTGTTAGAGAGGACACAATCTGCTATTCCTGTGCTCCTTTTTTAAACCGATATTGAGACGTTTGCTCTTAAGTTTTTTCACATCCTGATATGATAGAAAACCCTTCTGCTTTGAGTTTAATGTTTATAACTTTAAACTTCCTGACTGTCTGCTCTGTTTATGAGGTTCATCAGGATTGGTCCACAGTGTCCATGTTGCTTAAGATAAAAAAAAAAAAATCAACAAAAGGTTTACAAACAACCAACAAACAATATTTATATATCAATGCTTTGTCTTTTTATTAGTTAAAATATGTTTCCAGTTCATCGGCTTTGATTCAATTCAGTTTATTTCTATAGCGCCAATTCACATCACATGTCATCTCAAGGAACTGGTTGAACTATAAAGTTCAACCAGATCATCCAGACTGGATGACAGTAGAGAGAAAAACTCCCTTTGAACAGGAAGAAACCTCCAGCAGAACCAGGCTCAGTGTGAGCGGCCATCTGCTGAGGCCCACTGGGGTTCAAGGAGACAGAAGCAGACATAGAAAAAGAAGCATAGATACAAAAGGCAACTGTAAAAGGAGGAAACACACAGCCAGGCAGACGAGCTCCGAGCCAGCTCCCATGTCAGAGGATGAAGAGAGCACATCCAGTTAGTCACAGTCAGAGAAACAGGACTACACTGGAAAACAGGCCAAGCTCCAACATCTATAAACAAAGGTGTTGATGGCAGCAGCACAGCTGATATTTCTCTCCAGGATGGAGTCACAGCCAAACAGGAACAGACCAGATGAAGCTACTATGAGAAAAAGCAGAGAGAGCAGAACGTTAGAGATTGAACTAACAGATTCTGCAGAGTGGGAGAATAGAGATAGAATGAAGCAGAATGATGAAAAAGGGGTCCCTATGTCCTCCAGCAGTCTAAGCCTTTAGCAGCAGAACTATAGAGATAGATCAGGATAACCTGAGCCACTCTAACTAGAAGCTTTATCAAAAAGGAAAGTTTTAAGCCTAGCCTTAAAAGTAGACAGGGTGTCTGCCTCACGGACTAAAACTGGTAGTTGGTTCCACAGGAGAGGAGCCTGAGAACTAAAAGATCTGCCTCCCATTCTACTTTTAGAAATTCTTGATCTTTTACTAAACTCTTTTAGTAAACTTTATTTTTTTTTCCCCATTTGGATCTCAACCTGTGAGAAGCAGCAATTCACTGGAGCCCAAGTTTTTCCATCATGCTCCGCTGTAGATGGCAGCAGGTTTTTATCCAGAATGTGTCTCTTTTTCATTCATCCTTCCTTCAAACATTTGAAGTTTGCCAGTACCATATGCCCTACACCATGACGCTCCCACCTCCAAACTTCACTGTTGCTATGGCGTTTTCTGGGTGATGTGCAGTGCCCTTTGGCCTCCAAACATGATGTGTATTATAGCATCCAAAGAGTTTAAATTTGGTCTAATCTGACCACATTATCTACCTCCAGCATTTCACAGGCTTGTCTAAATGTTGTGCAGGGATTTTAAACAAGCTTTAACATACATTTTATTTAGCAGTGGAGTCTTGCGTGGTGAGCTTGCATTCAGGCCATGGCGGATGACTCTTTTACTTTTGCTTTCTTTGAAACAGTTGAACCTGCTAATTCCAGGACTTTCTGAAGCTCTCCATTAGTGGTCTTTGGTTCTTGGACAACTCTTTGGATCGCTGGTCGTGGTCAGGTTATGGTGAAATGATGTTCTTTCCATGTCTGGATTATTGCCCTAACAGCGCTCACTGGAACATTCAGAAGTTTAGGAATCCTTCTGTGACAATGACATCATTAAGGTCGTGAAGTTGTTGAAAAAGCTCTTTACTTTTAACTAGTGATGGTGAGATGAAGCCTCATTGAACCGTTTGGCCAATTTGCTTCAACGATCCCCACAGTTCATGAGGCTCCATGTAAACATGTCACCACCTACTGGTTGAATGCAGAACTACAGTTTAATAAAATCTGATTTTTTTATTTGCAACTGTTTTTTTTTCCCCCTTTAGGTTCCTTTGAAATTGTTAATGGTTGGTGTGTATAATAAAATCTTTTGTAAATTTTTTAAGTGTAAAATTTCTTAGAACAATCATTAAAGGTGCACCGTTTTTCTGCCATTTTAGTGAAATAAACTCAAGCAGACAGTGAAAGTGTTTGTGCAAATTGGGTAATGATGAGAAAAATGAAAGGTGTTAATCATTTTTATTCAAACATGCTAGTTTTTCCACTTTTTTTTAGTTTTAATCAGGTTGGAAGTTGTGTTTAACCAATCTTTTGGCGAAACCGAACTAATTTACCTAATCTATATTTTTACTCGGGCAAAACAATGCAAATTAGTCTCATCAGCCAAAATAATTCACTTTAATCGCAACTTTCAAAAGTCAAACACTGTTCTTGAACCAACAACCTCTAGAGTGAGAGCCTGTCTCTTACAGCTGACATAATCATTACATTGTTTATTCTCACCAAATTAGTTTTAACCAACTAGATTGGTTGTTTT